GCTGTTCACCCGTTATGCTCTGCTCCATAGGAAGGAGAGAGATAGTGTACCTATGGAGAGTGGCAGATTTGCATGGGAGCAGTCTGGTCACTTTGGGGCTTCTTTCTCAAGGGAAGAGGAAGAAGTGCAATTTTGGAGTCTTAGGTTTTGTGCAGGGAGTCAGGTTCTGCTGCATGGAAAACTGAGATCTGGTCCTTGGCATTGTTCTTAGGGAAAGAAGTTTTGGCATTTCATCATTTCGAAGTTTTGGCGTTATGGAACTATGCGTTGGCAGGCTGGAGGAAAGTGGGGTCTGGTCTAACAGGTGCTTCTCCAAGGAGGGAGAAAGGGATATGGTAATAGTTGACTGCTCATTGGAGGGAAGAATAGTAGAAGATCAAGTACTTTGGCCACATCATGAGAAGAAAGGAAAGCTTGGAGAAGACAATTATGCTGGGGAAAATGGAAGGAAAATGGAAGGAAAAAGGAAGAGGGGCCGACCAAGGGCAAGATGGATGGATGGTATTGAAGTGAACGGATTGACCTTGAAGGAGCTGGAGGTGGTGACGACTGACAGGGAGCTCTGGCGTGGGCTGGTCCATGAAGTCACGAAGAGTCGGAAACGACTGAACGAATGAACAACAAAATATTTGAATGCCTGAGGATGGATGCGTGTACATGTGGTGTGAATGTTGAGTGAAAACGTAATTCTCCTTTGTTTGTTAGCCATGTAATTGTAAATCCAATGTAGTTGCATAGAATCTGTATGTCTAAATGTTTTTCTGTAATCTGATATACCCTCTCACACTGGAAATTGCAATAAAAAGAACCTATGCTTTTTTAATTGAAAAGCCATTCATGACGTTTCACTTATATAACACCCTCACAATTATCTAAATTTTACAGAAATAATAATAATCAATGCTGGAAATGTGGCAAAGAATTAGGAACTTATTTCCACTCGTGGTGGAGTTGCAAAATAGTTAAGAAATTTTGGACATTAGTACATAAACACACTGAAAAAATCATCAATATCAAATATGATATGAAACCAGAATATTATTTAATAAATGTAATAAATTTTGAAATGGGAAAAAACAAAGAGATGTTACTTCATCTATCTGCTGCTGCAAGAAGTACAGTGGCACAAAAATGGAAAAAAGGACCCCGCGCTAATAGAAGACTGGATACTTCAAGATAGCTGAGTATATGAATATGGACAAACTATCGCAAATATTGAAGAATACAAACAAAAAGAATCAAATTAACTGGGATCCACTTAGAAGATATTTGCAGAATGAAGTGAAACTCCAAAGTAAATAAAGTAAGAAGAAGGGGGAAAAATGAACCAGAAATGGATACTCCACCTCAGACATCAGAAGAGCTGCAAGACCAAGAACAAGCCACGAGAGTCAAGATGAAGATCCACCCAGAGGAAAAGTGTTCCTGCCATACATCAAGGGAACCACTGATTGCATAGGGAAGCTGATGAGGAAACACAACATACAAACTATCTACAGACCCACCAAGAAAATCCAACAAATGCTACGTTCAGCAAAGGACAAGAGGGATCCTCTCACCTCTGCAGGAGTCTACCGTATACCATGCAGCTGTGGACAAGTCTACATAGAGACCACCAAACGCAGTGCCCAACACGAATCAAGGAACATGAAAGGCACTGCAGACTACTTCAACCAGAGAAGTCAGCCATAGCAGAGCACCTGATGAACCAACCTGGACACAGCATATTATTTGAGAACACAAAAATGCTGGACCACTCTCACAACCACCATGTCAGACTACACAGAGAAGCCATTGAAATCCACAAACATGTGGACAATTTCAACAAAAAGGAAGAACCATGAAAATGAACAAAATCTGGCTACCAGTATTAAAAAACTCTAAAATTACAACAGCAAAACAACAGAGAGGAAACAACCAGGCACAGATTAACACCTCCCAGCAAGAGATTTTCCCAGGCTCAGGCAGACCTTCAAATGCTAATGAAGGTGATCAGCTGAAACATTCACACCTAACTGCAGCAGGGAAGAGCTCCTTGCCCCACCCCAGCCATTCCACAGATATATAAACCCATTTTCCTAATTCCAACAGACCTCACTACCTCTGAGGATGCTTGCCATAGATGCAGGCGAAACGTCAGGAGAAATGCCTCTAGAACATGGCTCTATAGCCCGAAAAAACCCACAAGAACCTAGTGAACCAGAAATGTTTAGTGAAGGAATACAAAGAAGGAAAACTCAATTCAAAATTGTCCCTCTGTGGATCGAACCGGAAGAAATCTCAATCCTTTATCTCTTCCTTTTCCCCCTACTCCCCCACACTCCTCTCCCCAAAACCCCTCTTTGCCTCAACCTACCAATCCTTTCCCCCAGTTATTGCCTCCCCCAATTCTTCTCTAGAATTTCTTACTTCTTTCCCCCCAATTTTATTGTTCCCCCTCTTTCATTGTAATTTGAAAAAGTCTATAATAAAGATCATTATATATAGTCATTCATGACTTTCCCGTTCTTTGGAGTTCAGGACTATTCTGATCTTGTTCATTTAATTTCTTTTTAGGAAGGACCCTAATCTTCCTGCTGTTCTCAGCAACTTTATTAATAGCCCCCTGGAACTTCGTGTAACATTTACTCAGAGAAGTGGTGATTAATAGGAAACGAGAAGAACAAAAACTTCCTCTTTTGGAGAAAAAAACATTCCCTTCGAGTTTGCATGCTGCTTGAAACCAGAGTCCAGATGAGGCCAATCCTCCAGCCTGAAATGCACTGTGGAGGGTAAATGTGTTAACTAGTCCATGGCTGGAAATAACTTACTCTCCAGTGGTGCCCCTTTGGGAAGAGCAATAACTAGTTAAGCTGCTCTGGCTGGAAGTCCTTAACATCAGCCATCTGTTCATAGTAGGCTTTACTACACTGTTGAAGTTACAGGCAGCTGTTTTCAGAATTCCCCTGATATCATGGATAGCTTTGTGCCAACGGTTGCCACATGGTTCCCACACATTATTTATTTATTTGTTTGTCTGTTTATTTAAAACATCTGATCTCACCAGCAAGGGAGTTCCATAGCTGAGGAGCAATCACCAAGAAGGCCCTGTCTCACGTCCCCACCAATCGCGCCTGTGACAATGGCGGGACGGAAAGCAGGACCTCCCCGGAGGATCTTAATCTCCGCAATGGTTCATAGGGGAAAATGCGTTCCGACAGGTAAATTGGGCTGGGCCGTTTACATCTTAGTGGAGCTTGTACAGGATCAGTGTTTATGCTTCCTGTTAAAGGGAAGATGGGACTGGATGAATTTTCTATCCAAGTTTCTAGAAGCAGTTCTGCAGGAAACCAGACTCCACACATAGATATGGGACAAATATCAGGAGAGAATGCTTGTGGAACATTGCCAGACAGCCGAGAAAACTTACAACAACCCAGTGATTCTGGCTATGAAAGCCTTTGACAACACGCATCCAATAATTGATGAGTGAGAAAGTAAGATGTATCATTTTTATGTTATTTATTTTAAAATAATGTCAAGCATCCATTTACAGTTATATGAGCCTATAATTCTGGCATCATAAAACAGGAGATTGTTCACTCCTGAAATATGTTCCATTCATGGGTCCTTTTCATACTGCAAATTTGATGTCCTGCAGAAATCTGAGCTACAGTAATATCAGTCACCTGAAGATAGGAAGGCGTGATCCACCCCACCCTCCTGAAACTTTGCTCCTCCAAAATAAACTTGTCAAATCACTTTGGAAATCTATGTATACATATACAAAATGCAATGAAATCCAAACATATCTGGGGTGTCAGCCTTCCTTTGCCAAGCTCGTTTTTAATGACTGGAGGAACCAATATGTGTTTCCGTCATTTCAAAATCTCAACTTTCCAGCAGTCAAATGGACCTTGGGATGCAAGACTGCCCAAAACAAAAACTGCAAAAATGCCATTTCATACTGTTTGGCTTGATTTGCCAAAGATAAAAATCAGGACAAACCTTTCTGCCGCTGAAAAGCTGAATTCAAGTGAGCATTGCCATCAATTGATTCCCAACAAAAATCTTGTTGTAGGATTTGGTATGTCTCCTGTGTTGACAATTTAGAAATTGTGGTGGAGCAGGGAGAGGAAAGCTTTATTTGGTGCTCGTAGCTAAACTCAAATTATTTGACTGCAACTTGCAGGAAATATTTCCTCATCATCAACAACCTAATTGCGACTTAGTGACTCTTTACAGAAGTGGCCCATAGAATATTCATCTCTTGCAAAGAAAGTACAGAATGGGGGGTGCCTGGCTCGAGAGCAGTACATGTGAAAAAGATCTTGGAGTCCTCATGGACAACAAGTTAAACATGAGCCAACAATGTGATGTGGCGGCAACAAAAGCCAATGGGATTTTGGCCTGCATCAATAGGAGCATAGTGTCTAGATCTAGGGAAGTCATGCTCCCCATGCTCTATTCTGCTTTGGTTAGACCACACCTGGAATATTGTGTCCAATTCTGGGCACCACAATTCAAGAGAGATATTGACAAGCTGGAATGTGTCCAGAGGAGAGTGACTCAAATGATCAAGGGTCTGGAGAACAAGCCCTATGAGGAGCGGCTTAAGGAGCTGGGCATGTTTAGCCTGAAGAAGAGAAGGCTGAGAGGGGATATGATAACCATGTATAAATATGTGAGAGGAAGCCACAGGGAGGAGGGAGCAAGCTTGTTTTCTGCTTCCCTGGAGACTAGGACGCGGAACAATGGCTTCAAACTACAAGAGAGGAGATTCCATCTGAACATGAGGAAGAACTTCCTGACTGTGAGAGCTGTTCAGCAGTGGAACTCTCTGCCCTGGAGTGTGGTGGAGACTCCTTCTTTGGAAGCTTTTAAACAGAGGCTGGATGGCCATCTGTCAGGGGTGATTTGAATGCAATATTCCTGCTTCTTGGCAGAATGGGGTTGGACTGGATGGCCCAGGAGGTCCATTCCAACTCTTTGATTCTATGATTCTATGATTCTATACTCACCGTTTTATAAAGTTGGGCTTTCAAACGATTTGTAGTATACTCTGATTTCCTCTTTTCCTCTTCTCTTCTTTTGCGCACCTCAGGCAGCTGCTCGTAGATACTAAAAATAAATGAGAAAGTAATGCTGAAGAAAGCTCCCAACTCCCTGCCCTAGCACAGTTTGCCCCAATGGCTCCCCGCCAGAGCAGCTCTACACGAGGGCCTGCTTCTAGCTCTTGCAGCAACTCAGAGCCTTCACTCAACAAGGGAGAACAGAAGAAACAGAAACAGCATTGTAATGAGGAAAGAAATGACTTCTCAAATGCAGGCATAGAATAAAATCATTCCTATGAAGCAGAACAGCTATGAATCACTCCCAATGCCTTCCTGAAAATGTGCCCTAGATTGCTGACTCCAGAATAGAAGAACCAATTAACTTTCATTTCCAAGTTTAGCAGTTAAGAAGAAAACTATGTCTTTGATTCCAGTGTGATGTCTCTCCTCTTCACTAGTTGATTGAGATTGGTCATTGCTCTCCTCCCAAGAAGTAAATGTCTCCTGATTTCCTGGCTGCAGTCTGTGTCTGCACTCATCTTTGTGCCTAGAAATACAAAATCTGTCACTGCTCCCACGTTTTCTCCCTCTATTTGCCAGTTCTCAATCATTCTGGTTGCCATCATCTTGGCTTTTTTATGTTTGACTGCAACCCAGCTTTTGCCCTTTCTCCTTTCGCCTTGGTTAGAAGGCTCCTCAGCAACTCCTTGCTTTCAGCCACCAAAGTGGTATCATCTGCATATCTAAGGTTGTGAATGTTTCTTCCAGCAATCTTTACACCAGCCTTGCATTCGTCAAGCCCCGCACATTGCATGATGTGTTCTGCATACAAGTTGAATAGGTTGGGTGAGAGGATACAACCCTGCTGTATGCCTTTCCCAATCCTGAACCAGTCTGTTGTTCCATGGTCAGTTCTGACTGTTGCTACTTGGTCCTTATACAGATTCCTCAGGAAACAGACAAGGTGGCTTGGTATGCCCATACCACCAAGAACTTGCCACAATTTATTATGATCCACACAGTCAAAGGCTTTAGAATAGTCAATAAAACAGAAATAGATGTTTTTCTGAAGCTCCCTGCCTTTCTCCATTATCCAGCATCTGGATATTGGCAATTTGGTCTCTCGTTCCTCTCCCTTTTCAAAATTCGGAATTCTCTAACTGGAGCAGAAAACCCCAACGGCAGTTGAGTTGCGACTTTTATCTTTTGCAAATTTGAATATTTTAGCAGATTTGATTAAAATATTACCCCTAGGAATCTCTATGTCCTTCAGTGCAATTCTACAATCAGGTTCTGGCAAAATTTGACAATAGAAATGCCCTCACAAGTTGAGAAAATACAATTGTTCAATTCACACTTTTCTTACTTTCATAGAGTCCACCAGCCCCAGCAAATGTGGACGGCTGACTGTGCTATGTACTTGTATTTTCTATGTTTGCATAAACACAGCAATCTAAGTTTTTGGGGGTGGGGTGGGGGGTTCAAGCCAACGTTACCGTTTGGATCTCTGCACCATTTCATTCTTGGAAATGGCTCTTTTCCTCCGCATGATCCGGTAGTCTAAACGAAAGAAGAAGAAAAAGTCAGCTTGACAGAAGTCGCCGCGTGTGAAGGACATTGAGGTGAATGTGTGCTTTTTAATGAAAAGAAGACTTGGAGGAGTTTCCTCACCAAACTATGCATCATTCCATCAAACCATGCCTACAGCTGTCATTGATGGCAGATATAAACCTACCCCTCTGGCCCTCCATATTTGTGGGGGCCCAGAAATTGAGGATTTGCCACATTATTTAGTCTTCTGAGCACTATACTCAGAGCCAAGATCCAAATTCTTGCATATTCTGTCTAGCCTATGTCAAAAGAATGTGTCAGAAAAAAATCTTTCTCCTATGTGATACAAGTTCTATAGTGACTTGAATAGTTTTCCCTTTTTGCAATGAAAATTCAGGCTAAACATATTGCCTATTTTGCAATTAATCGTTATGGGCATGCTCTAAGAGAAATAATTTCATCTTTGATGTTAATGTTGTATCTTAATGATATTGAATTTTAACAGACAGGTCCTGAATGCCAATTGCTTTATGTATTACCTTTATAATGTGTTATATTGCTGTCCTTCTATAGCAGGTATGGGCAAACCCAGGTCTGGGGGCATGAGCTGGGCATGAAGTACAATTCTTAAGTTTATACCCTTAAGATTCATACTTCATGCCCAGCTCATCTGGACGACATTGAGGAATCGTAAGCGCCTTCAAACTAGTCCTTTGGCATCAAGAGGAAGATTTTGTGTTCAGTATAGGCAATTGGACTGGGGTTGCGAGTGTTTCGACCTCATAGCCATTGAGAAAGTGGGAACTTGGAAGCTACTCAGCTGGAAAACTCCTTGGACCCAAGACAACCAGAGACTGTAATGTATATTTTCTTTACCCCTTTTGGAACATCAAGTTTAATGCCTCAGAAGGATAACTTTTTGTAAACAATAAAGCCTATTTCGAGTTATCTATAGTGTCTTGTTGATCCTCGAGAGTTCTAGTTCTCTAAAGGAAAGCAAGAAGCAATCCCCTGGGGAAAAGTTGCCACGTCCTTGTTTTTTCACTAAGAACTATAGGTCCCCAGGCAGCGATGGCATAGTCTTGGTCAAAAGAGGTTGGGAACCACTGCACTAGACCATGTTACAGCAAGTCATAGCAGGATCAAGTGTATGTTAAAGAAAAACCTTATGATGTTAATTATTATGTGCAGCTGGTAATGTAGGTCAGCTAGCATGTTTAGGCCATACCCAGTGGGGTATAACTGTATGGATTTTAGAATACAGTTTGGAGAAGGAATACGCTATTCTGAGGAGGAGAAGCAATATGCTGTAATGCTGCTATGCTCTAACAGCGATGCTATGGTGGAATAGATATTTACTCATGGTTTGTGTTTTGTTCTCTCATTTGAATGAAGATGTTATTCTGTGTTACTTAAAGAGACTATGTAAGTTTGATTTTGTATGCAACTGTTTGATTTTGTATACAACACTGCAAGTTTATGCCTCTGCTAATAAAAGTAAAGTTTTTCTGTGCAAAGTATGGAACCCTGCGCAGACAGTTGGTCAATGCAACTTAAGCAACATGCAGTCATTGAATTCTTGACAGCAGAAGGTGTCAACCCAAAGAAGATTCATCAGGGAATGCAAGCTGTTTATAGTGATTGTGTTGATGTGAGTACTGTGCCTCAATGGGTGAGTAAGTTTAAAGTTTTATTTATTTATTTCAAAGTTTTATATACCGAGCTTCTCACCTCATTAGAGGGACTCAGCCCGGTTTCCAACCATAAAAACACATACAATTGGTAAAATATCAAAATACATAATTACAATAAAACACTGGAAAAGCACATATATTTAAAAACTGCAGTGGTCAGTCGTCATTCCAAAATTGAATATGTTGAGGTGACATCTTCTGCTGTCAAGAATTCAATGACTCCACATTGCTTAAGTCGCACTGACTGACTGTTTGTGCAGGATTCCATACTTCGCACTTTAACAACACAACCGTTCCATGCTATGGCTTCCCACCAAAATGGAACTGTAGAGGAGAGTCTACTGAACAAGCCAGTACCTGCCACATACCAGTACTGCCATCTGTTGAAGAGTTACGAAGGTGGAGGCACTACTTTTCATTCAACCCTCGTATATCCAGCTGATTAAACAGCTCTGCTCTAAGCAGGAATAACAACAGGATCTGGGTTGGAGCTTTAGAAATATATAGCAGAAAGCAGCACATTTGGAAGCTCACCTCTTCATCAGAAGTCAAAATTTCCCTGCATGCACACGAACACACACACACACAATATTTCTACACTATAAGACTATACAGCAATGGGGACGCACCTCTGTTTGGAAAAAAAGCTGAATTCCTGTAACTTCTCCTCTGTTCGGGAGGATTAAATAATAACTCTCTCTCGCCCTGAAGCATATTCTGTAGTTTTCTTTCTTCTATGATGAGCTTGAGGCGTTTCACACGCTCCCCAGAGCTAGAAATGAAATCGGGACGGCGCAGTGCCAGAGCCTCCTGCGTTGGGAAAGGAAAAAGGAGAAGAGTTGCTCAGAACCTCAGCCGAAGGATGATGGGGAAGAGGGGAGGGAGGAGGCATAAATAGCTCACCCCATTAGCAAAGCACCGAAGACATGCCTCAGAAGAAGGGAATTATCCCCGCAACGTACAGAATACTGCCTCAATAAAACGGAAGAGATCTCTCCGCGGGTCTTGTTAACAAATGCTTTGATGTTGGACAACCAACCAGAAAGATGCCAGGCTGGGAATAAGCGCGGCAGCCTATGTATTTGTAAAAAGGATAAGCACTTAAGATGAAACAAGCAGGATGGAGACCCAGCAAAGCCCACACGGGACAGAAAGAGCCGCCAAGTGATCGGGGAAGTCTCTGAGAAATTGTAAATCATCTAGATATGGAGGGGAAGGGTGGGAACCCCTGGTACAGAGCTTTATAGGTCAAAACCAGCACTTTGAATTGGGCTTGGAGGTGGACCAGCAGCCAGTGGAGCTGGCACAGCAGGAGGTTGGTATGCTCCCTGTATTTCACCCCAGTTAGTAGTCTGGCTGCCAACTGTTGGACTAGCTGAAGTGTCTGGCGGGGACGAGAGACAGGGCCTTCTCGGCTGTGGCCCCCTCTTATGGAACACACTCCCAAATGAGGTAAGATCCGCTCCCTCCCTCCTGGCTTTTAGAAAAAATAAACAAATCATGGTTTTGGGACCAGGCCTTCGGGCAGTAGAAGTAAATGTATGCAACATTTCAGAAAGACAATGACTGGAATGGTGATTCGACAGATGAGGCAGTTTTATTGTTTTAATGAGTGTTTTATTACTTGTGGATGTATTGTTTTTGACTTTATTTATGTCTAATTGTAGTGTATAATTGTATTTATTTATTTATTTATTTATTTATTTATTTATTTATTTACAGCTTTTATATTCTGCCCTTCTCACCCTGCAGGGGACTCAGGGTGGATTACAGTGTACACATATATGGCAAACATTAAATGCCAATTTTTGACATACAAACATATACAGACATACACAGAGGCTATTTAACTTTTTCTGGCCACCAGGGGAGCTGTCGCTTTCCTCATCCATTTTCGATGCTGATGAAACACTTCCGCATTCCCCGCATGCTTCCCCGCTGGAATGCTTTGCTGGAGTCTTTTTTATGGCCTCATAAATCAGTTAATTTAGCCTCCCCACACTTTAAGGTGGTACCTAATTTTCCTACTTGACAGATGCAACTGTCTTTCGGTTTGCAAAGGTCGACAACAGGCTACGCAATTGGTTGGAAACCCACTCCAACCCGGGCTGACTTCAAACTCATGACCTTTTGGTCAGAGTGATCTTAGTGCAGCTGACACTCAGCCAGCTGCGCCACAATCCCGGTGCTTGGAGGGGAAGGGGGGGAATTAAAAACGTGCAAAAAGGGAGGGGGGGGGGGTTCTATGGTTGGAAAATCTGCCAAAATGCAAGTGAGAGCAGGGATGGACACGCTTCCCATGTTCACAACTTGACTGGATGATTTCATTATCATCTTGGTCACCCTTTACAACAGTGGTTCTCAACCTGGGGTCCCCAGATGTTTTTGGCCTACAACTCCCAGAAATCTCAGCCAGTTTATCAGCTGTTAGGATTTCTGGGAGTTGTAGGCCAAAAACATCTGGGGACCCCAGGTTGAGAACCAGTGCTTTACAACCTTGTGCCTTCAATGAATGAATGAACAATAATCCCCTGACCTGACCAATCCCTGCATAAATGCCCTTGGAAGCATTTTATTTTACCTGTTAGTGCAATTAAGCCCTACTCGGACCCTCCTTTCCAGATACATTATATTGCCCTCTCACCCAGTGTTTTTAAACTTTTAATCCTTGCAGCACCAGCCTGCCCACTATGATTAATTTTCTGTGTTCAAATATTGTGATATAATAATAATCATCATCATCATCTTTATTTATACCCCACCACCATCTCCCCGATGAGGACTCGGAGCGGCTTACATGAGGCCAAACCCAAACAACAAATTACAACAGAATAAAACCGAAAACGCAAACCAAAAACACGAACAAAAACAACAACATCATAACTAATTAAAAACTCGGGCGGGATAAAAGAGAAGCAGGTTATTTTATATGGTCGGGGGGGGGGGGGGTGAGAAGGGCAGGGTGCAAATATTTGAAATAAAATAATAAAATAAATAAATCTGGAAGGAGCATACACACACACACACATAGAGAGAAGGGAGGAGACGAAGGATTTTTTCCTCTATTGACGTAATAAGAATGTTCAATTCATTCCCCAGTCAAAGCGTCCACAAACACACAGCAAAAGCCCACCAGCAGAGCCTGGTTTTTACCTGCAGTGAGATTTTCACAAAAGGTGAGGGTGGGTTATTCTCAATGTCTCTCGCCTGGGCTGCCAGACGCACCTGAAAGCCCCCGCGATCCTCCTCCTGCCAGTTCTTCTCCCGGAGGGGCTCTCGCCAGGGCTTCCCGCTCGGCAATGGTTCAAACCACGAAGGACCCGGTTCAGGTATGCTGATGGACCCAATCCCTCTCTTGGGGTCAGCCTTTAATTCCTCCGTGGGAACAAACCAGGAAAGTCCTAGGGGAGGAAGGGGGGAAATGTGGTTTAAAAAGGAATGAAGTCTAAATTGTCCACTGTTTTTGGGGGGTGTTCACTCTACAGTTGTCATGTTCGCTTGAGACATCCGTGTCTACAAAAGCCAAAGATCTGGTGTTCACAGTCGACACATGCACACCTCCATTGCAACTGCAGAATTGCCCTCTGGATTCTGCTGTCTAAGGCCCCTTCCTCATCTATATAAATAAAAATGTAATGATCGTTTGTGGGATTAACAGAACTCAAAAACCACTGGATGAATTGACACCAAATTTGGACACAAGACACCTAACAACCCAATGTATGTCCTTCACTCAAAAATTGATTTTGTCATTTGGGAGTTGTAGTTGCTGGGATTTATAGTTCACCTACAATCAAAGAGCATTCTGGACTTCACCAACGATGGAATTGAACCAATCTTGGCACAAAGGACTCCCATGACCAACAGAAAATTCTGGAAGGCTTTGATGGGCATTGACCTTGAGTTTGGGAGTTCTAGTTTACCTACATCTAGAGAGCACTGTGGACTCAAACAAGGATGGATCTGGACCAAACTTGACACAAGTATTCCATATGCCTAAATATGAACACAGATGGCTTCAACTCCCCGCTGGATCATGAAAATCCACCTGGGTGAGTCACATGCTTTCAGACCCAAAAATCCCCATGGTGGACTTACCTTGAGGTCACCATAAGTCAGAAAAAACATATTTATCAGGGCTCTGCTAAATCAAGTTCCTTTTCCTTACGATTGATAGTTTTACATGTTCTAAGGGTCTTTTTTTCCCCGTATATATTATGGCACAGACACATTAAGAATTCTGTGATTAACAACTAGCACATGAAAGGTATTATGTCTGACTGCACCAGCAAGGCATGGATCTATCCATGGCACCTATGGGAGAGAACCTCAAGGTCTTTTATGAACCTTAAGATCCCTTGCTGATGTCAATAAACAAAGGACGGCAAAATTTTGTTTTGTTTTAAGCCCCGTTGCCCACCTGGGGGCAGCAAAACGTCTCTGATTAAAAGGACAGCAAGTGAAGCCATTCGAGAACAGAGTGCATTTATTTATGTATTTATTTATTGCCAACATATATTTGCCGCCCGTCTCACCCCAAATAGGACTCAGAGTGGCTTACAAGGTATACATACATAAAATATATTATATTATTAGCAGGAAAAACCTACAACAATCTAGTGATTCCAGCCATGAAAGCCTTTGACAATGCATTACATTCGCTTTGTTTTAGATTGTGAACAAAGCATATGTTTGTTAGTTGCCTTGAGAGAAAAGTGGGGTATAAATAAAGTAAGTAAAGAAACAAACACTAAACCACAACACTCAGCTGGCTCTCTAAGGCAAACCTATCACAGGGTTTTCTGGGCAGAATTTGTTCAGAAGAGGTTTGCCTTTGTCTTCCTCTTAAGATGAAAGGGTATGACTTAATAGAGGATTTTGGGGGATGAGAAGGGATTCAAGTCCTGCTCTCTAGAGTCACAGTCCATTACTCAAACCACTACATCACTTAACGAAGAAAAATAAAGATTAGAAGGTTGATTTAAATAAGGTTACTTCAAACCACTACACCACACTGGTCTCGAAACCTCTATGCAAGCACTGTTGTCAAAGACATCTAAAACTACTTAAGAGAGCCAAGGGCAGGGACAGAGCAGGGAAACTGTGACAACTAAAGCAACAATACACAACTTTCCTGCACAGGTACGCTCTGACTTTAAATCATTAGGGCTAGGATGCTGTTATGATATAACTCTGGATTACTTGTGATGTTTAGAGTCTCCTCAAATATCAGGGAGACTTACTGTCTTTACTGTAAGACCCTAAGCTACAATTGGTCCAACGGGCAGCAGCCAGGCTGCTCACCGGAGCATAGTTCAGGAAGCATACCACCCCCTTGTTATGTCAGCACCATAGGCTGCCAATCTGCAACCAAGAATAAATCAAAGTGCTGGCTTTGGCCTATCAAGCCCTAAATGGTTTCAGCTCAGCCTACTTGTCCAAACGTATCTCCTTCTATGACCCACCTTGGAGGTTAAAATCATCGAGGGAAGCCCTGCAAGCGGGACTGGTGGAGACAAGGGACAGGGCCTTCTCAGTGGTGGCCCCCTCAGTTGTTGAACTCCCTCCCTAGTGATATCAGGAAAGCCCCCTCCCTCTTAGTAGAAAGAGAGTCAAAACCTGGCTCTGGGAGCAGGCGTTTGAAACATAGAGCAGTGCAGGAATGTTAGTATGGAATATGTGCAATCCGACTATGGATTGGCCTTTAGACTATGACTCTGGATGGTGTGATTCATTGAAATGTATGCATATTCAAATGTTTAAAAGCAATTATTTTACTGGCAGACCCAAAAAGGGCGCAGACCCAAAATTAATAAGAACATCAGCCCTAGCTTTGTCTTACTCAACTGCAGAGTATTTATTTATTTACGACATTTATATGTCTCACCCTGAAGGGCACTCAGAGCAGCTTACAAGATATATATACATACAATATAATATATTATTAGCATAGTACAATATCAGTATTAAATATTACTATATTGTACTATACCATTATATTGTAATATTATTAGTAATATTACATGTAATATAAATATATAATTATAATATTATATTATTATTAGTATTATATTGCATTACATTATAATATTATAAATATTATATGTATATATAATATTATAATATTATAATATTATAATATTATAATATTATATTATATTATATTATTATTAGAATAATACAGGAGACAAGATGGAACTGTCTTCTGCCCCCCCCCCCCCACTTCACTCTGGCCCAGAGCAGCAGCTGGTGCTGAGGGGAGGGGTCCCAAACTGATGACATATGCAGGAGACAAGATGGAACCAAGTATGCCTGCCCTGTTTGGTATAAGTCTGCCCATGCAAAGCAAGTAAACATAGCATTGAATAAAACATGCAGAATAATCACAGGATGTCTTAAACTTACACCTGTTGATAAACTCTACAAGCTAGCTGGCATTCCCCCCCCCCCGATGTGCGAAGGGAAGTTGCTGCTAAATGTGAGAGAAATAAGGTTGAACACTGTGAAAGCCACCCACTGCATGGCTACCAGCCTCCTCCCAGTAGACTCAAATCAAGGAAAAGCTTTATGAGAACTACCACTCCTCTTGGCGCCCCCCCCAGCAACAGCAAGGGTATCCCTCTGGGCAGCTAAACCAGGAAATCCCAACTAGATGGGCCCCCACGAGGGTCTTCCTCCAGGGGAAAACCAAGAATGGGCAACCTGGAAGTCCCTGAACAGACTCAGAAGTGGAGTGGGCAGATCAAAGGACAACCTGGCAAAATGGCACGACCTAGAAGAATCCTCCACCTTGTGCGACTGTAGAGCAAAACAAACAACTCTGCATCTGTATGCCTGCCCACAATGCGCTCCTCATGCACAGAGGAAGAACTACTTAAAGCTAATAATAATAATAATACTTTATTTATATTCCAGATGTTTTTGGTGCCATGAAGGTTGGGCTCAAATCCAGGGGTGCTGTTGCTCTATCCTCTATGAGAAGAGCTGTCCGGACTTCCTCCTTCCTTTTGGTCACCCAGCATTTTCTGATCTTTTTTCTTTATGGTGTCGTAAAACACCTCCCCGGCTTTTAGTGGTACCTAATTTCTCTAATCACAGCTAAAGCTGTTTTCAAATTGCTTAGGTAAACAATGAGCTAGGCTGACAGTTGGCAGCTCACGCCAACCCGGGGCTTCGAACTTGCAACCTTTTTTGGTTGATAGATCTTATAATTGCTGATGATTTACCAGCTGTGCTAAACCTCTGGCCCAATTGTTGGAGGCTATAGACAATGTCATTGCTGTTGCCCAGTTTTGGTAAAAAGATATTTAGCTGCCTGCTCCCCAGGGGTTGTATGAAGCTTGTAAAGCAGGCACGGGCAAACCTGGGCCCTCCAGGTGTTTTGGACTTCAACTCCCACAATTCCTAACAGCCTACCGGCTGTTAGGAATTGTGGGAGTTGAAATCCAAAACACCTGGAGGGCCAAAGTGGGCCCATGCCTGTTCTATAGCCTAGAATGGGGTTGAACTGAAAGACCCTTGGGGTCTATTCCAACTCGAGGATTCTATAATTATCACAGACCTTGCAGACACTGAGACTTGCTCTTCCCAGGCCGTTTCTCTGCAAAGAAGCCGCTCGGTTGCCTCCTTGGTTTGCTCTTGCTCTCTGAATTGCATCCGCCCGCCTCGTCTTCCATTCCATTCCCAAGGTCAACTTGAAACCTCGCCTGGCTGGACATCGGGGTGGGGAAAGTCAGGCCAACATCTCGCGTGTGCTTCTTGGTTGCGCTGTTCACAATCTCAAAGTCCCCTGAAGTTGGAACAAAAATAATCCCATCAAAACACGGGAAGAGGGAAATACTTTTTTGGGGAACAAGACAACTCCCCAAATCCCCAGGCAGTGCAGCCAAATGCTGTGCTCTCTGAGAATTCTGGGAGCCTTTGCAAAACAAAAAGTCATTTTTCCGAGTTCTGCTAGTGATGCAGCAGACAGGAATTGCTACGATTCCTCTGGAGGGCCCTCCCAGCATATGGGAGGGTTGGATAGCACAGAGCAAATAAATCTTGAGCAAATTTGGAGAAGGCATCCTATTCTCTAAGGGACGCTGCCTGTTTGAAGAATGTGCATTACAGAAAAGATTTTAATTGAAACAAAGGAAAGAAAAACAGACAATGCCAACTGGTTTAGAAAAAAAAAATACAGTGAGAAAGAATTTAGCTCTCGGGCTAACCCTCCTTGCACTAACAAAAGATTTAGGTAGAGCTTTAGACTGTGGAGCAGCTGGCTGGGAGTCAGTTGCATTAAGATCACTACTGACCAAAAGGTCATAAGTTTGAAGCCAGCCCAGGTCAGAGTGAGCGTCCAACCAATTTGTGTGGCTTGCTGTTGACCTTTGCAGCCCAAAAGTCAGTTGCATCTGTCAAGTAGGAAATGTAGGTACCGCTTATGCGAGGAGGCAAATTTAACTAATTTACGAGGCCATAAAAATCTCCAGCAAGCGTGCAAAGAATGAGGAAGTACTTCATCATTGTAACAAAAGGTTGGTGAAGGAACAGCTCCCCTGGTGGCCAAAATACCCTCAAGAAAAGCTGGAATGTTAAATTGCCTCTGTGTCTGTCTATGTATGTTGTGTGTCTATGGCAGGGGTCCTTAAACTAAGGCCCGGGGGCCGGATACGGCCCTCCAAGGTCATTTACCTGGCCCTCGCTCAGGGTCAACCTACATCTGAAACTACCTGAAAGCACAAAACAACAACAACAACAATCATATCTCATCAGCCAAAAGTAGGCCCACGCTTCCCATTGAAATACTCATAAGTTTATATTTGTTAAAATTGTTTTTCATTTTAATTATTGTATTGTTTTAAGTGTTTTTTTGCACTACCAATAAGATATGTGCAGTGTGCATAGGAATTCATTCACTTTTTTTTCAAATTATAATCCGGCCCTTCAACAGTTTGAGGGACTGTGACCTGGCCCTCTGTTTAAAAAGTTTGAGGACCCCTGGTCTATGGCATTGAATGTTTGCTATGTATATATACATTGTAATCTGTCCTGAGTCCCCTGCGGGATAAGATAAATAAATAAATAAATAAATAAATAAATCCCATAATCAAAGATCATAGAATTGTCAAAGGCTTTCATGGCCGGAATCACTGGGTTGTTGTAGGTTTTTCGGGCTGTATGGCTATGTTCTAGAAGCATTCTCTCCTGACATTTCACCCATATTTACAGCAGGCATCCTCAGAAGTTGTGAGGTCTGTTGGAACTAGGAAAAAGGGTTTATACAGCTGTGGAAGACCCAGGGTGGGAGAAAGAACTCTTGTCTGTTGCAGCAAGGTGTGCATGTTTCAATTGGCCACCTTGATTAGCATTTGATGGCCTGACAGCTTTTAGGTGTGGCTTGTTACTGCCTGGGGGAATCATTCATTGAGAGGTGATTATTTGTCCCTGATTGATACTTGTCTGGAGTTCCCCTATGTTTGAGCGCTGTTCTTTATTTATTGCTATGATTTTAGATTTTTTTAAAATACTGGTATCCAGATTTTGTTCATTTTCATGGTTTCTTCCTTTCTGTTGTAATTGTCCACATGCCTGTGGATTTCAATGGCTTCTCCAAGTAGCCTGACATGGTTGTTGTTAGGGTGTGCCAGCATTTCTGGGTTCTCAAAAAACATGCTATGTCCAGGTTGGTTCATCAGGTGCTCTGTTATGGTTGACTTCTCAGGCTTTATTTCCTGGAGGATGGACTGGTTGGATCTTCTCATGGTCCAAGGAACTGCGGTTAAAGCTACTGAGTCCAGATGGACTTAAATTAAACTGTCAGGCTCCTTCTCCCAAATACATTCTTCTGAAGTGTTATAATATTCTGGTTTCTTAACTTGAATAAGCTCCAGGCTTTCTTTTTGCATACTCACTTTAGTTTTTGATATGTGCATTCAGTTCTCTCCTCCCCTTGGTGCTGCCCCATTTAGCAGTTTATTCCATTGTTAATATGCATGGAGTACAGTCTGCAAGAGGAATCACCTGGAGATCTGTGCTGTTATGAACCAGCTCTGGTGCATTTCCTTCTGCAGAGCTAGAAGGTCTAAATGCTTTCCCAGAGCAAGATTCTTCTGAGATAGAAGGCTACAGTAATGGAGTTGTAGGTCCTGCATTGAATTTGCTGAAAGTTTTGGGTCTTATCCTGGGAATTCCCTCCCTGTTCCTTTGAGGGTTGAAACCGGTAGGTCCAAAGCACAAGAAAATAAATTCCATTCAACTACAATCAAATACATCATTTCTCTGGAATTCCAAAATCAGAAACACGCAGAAATCCAGAGTTGTACACAGAGATGCAACCAGAAAATCAGGAGATGTTTCCTTCTTGGGAGGAGCACATTGACCCACCTTGATAAAATAGTGAAGAGTAGAGACATCACACTGGCGACGAAGATCCACAGAGTTAAAGTAATGGTATTCCCTGCAATAACCTATGGATGTAAGAGCTGGTGTTGGAGCTCAGCCTGTGATTGTGTTTCAGGATCAGGGTGCTTTGGATGTGGGGAGTGATGTCAATGAGTTGCAAGATGAGTTTCAAGATGGCAATGTTTGGTCAGTGATATTGATGCAGAGAATGACCAGGAGATCAAAGTGTAGTTTCCCATGAGAATGTCCCTGAGGGGTGTGGGGATGCTGGTGTGCTTTCTGAATTGTTACCAGAGAGTTCCCATGACAGGGAACATGAAAACAGCTCAGCACCTGGCCGAGTTGCAGAAATTAATGAACAAATAGATAGACGGGAGAAGATCAGTCAAAACAGAAAAGCCGAACAGAGGCTTCGGCGTTCTGCCAGGCTCCGAGATAAAAAGATAAGAAATTCTCAGCTAAAGCGAAACCAATTTCTGAGTGCTAGAGACATAGCTAACGAGGAGATAAAAGTCCCAAGTACAGGATATGCAGTCAGATGAAGCATCATTTGGAATCAAGTCAAGATCTCGTCCTTGTTTCATGGAAGCTTTGTTTGAAAAATTCATGTTTTAAGTGCCTTTGTTTCATGGTTTTGATTCTTGGATTCTATGCCTTGGATTCTATATTCATGCCTTGGATCAATGTTTCCTGATTTCTTGCATTTTATTTGGGAAGTTTTGACTTTGTTTTCATGGGCTTTGGTGAGGTATTACTCTGGACTACTTTGCTCCTGCTTATCTTCCTACCTAATTAGATTTACCTATTTCTTTAAAGTGCTTTTTTTTTACTGCTTTTTTTAAATTTTCAATAAAAGGACTGTTTCCTATCCAACGGTGTGGTGTTTAGAGTAAGAGGGCTTTTCCTTTCATGGAGTGCAACAACTTTTGAACTGTGCTGATGGAGGAAAAGTCTGAGAGTGCTTTGGACCGCAACAAGATCCAACCAGTCCATCCTCCAGGAAATAAAGCCCGAGCACCTGATGAACCAACATGGACATAGCATATTATTTGAGAACACAGAAGTTCTGGACCACTCTAACAACTACCATGTAAGGCTACATAGAGAAGCCAATGAAATCCACAAGCATATGAGGAAATAAAGCCCGACTGCTAACTGGAGGGGAGGATATTAGAGGCAAAGATGAAATGTTTGGCCGCACAATGAGAAGACAGGAAAGTTTGGCTTGGGGAAATGGAAGGAAACAGGAAGAGGGGCCAACCATGGCAAGATGGATGGATAGTACCCTTGAAGTGACTGGCTTGACTTTGAAGGAGCTGGGGGTGGCCACGGCCAACAGGGAACGATGGCATGGGCTGGTCCAGGAGAGTCGGAAGGGAATGAATGAATGAATAAACAACACCTCATGTCACATCTCAATCTTCTCTTCTCCAAGCTAAACATATCCAAATCCCTAAGCCTTATAAAGCTGGATGTGTCCAGATAGCGGATGGTCCAGACCTCTTTCTATCATGGTAGCCCTCCACACAGTACATCCCAACTTGTTAATAACCTTTTCAAGCAATACTTCCTAGAAATAAAGTATTTTTTGGGGTGAGGTTAGACCAAATCACTTTTGTTGTTCTTATTAGCACTATATTGTACTGAAATAACCGACAGTTATAGCTTTCCCAGCTTGAAGATGTGTTAAGGCTATTCTTCAATTGTGTATCATGCTCCATTTTGGAACAGCCCTTGCCCTAGATCAGGCATCACAGGAAACAAACAAAGGAAAATTCACTTTCTTTGTTTGTTTCAGGAACAATCACCCCTTAGATCATCTTAGCAGAAGTACTAACACCTATCTGAACTATCTACAGCCATGTCTAAGTTTTTTTGCTACCTTTGCAAGCAAAAGAAATACCCCGTGGAACAAATCGGTCCTCCAACCAAGATTTATTAAGAGGCAAGAGCTGAGAAGGCCCACAGTAAGAAGAAAGAACCTGCCTGCTGATATCGAAGAAGTCTGTATAGACAAGAGAAGTGCTGTTCTCTTTGAGTATTTTGTGTGTGAAAAGATCAGAATTGTAAGGTGTGCCAAAAGGAAACTGCTCTGGGAAAAATCCAATTGAGTAGAAGATCTCTACAAAGAGATAAAGCGTGCCGGCCACCCGAGAGGGAGGAGGATCCAGATCTAAGCTACTCGCCTGCCTGAATGGCCTTGTTTAACATCCGCGTACTCCGCTTGCAGTTGAGGGCAGAGCTGGGTCCTCGGGTGCCGCTGGCTGTGGAAACTGAGTCCGACGAAACAAAAGAGTCTGTTGCCTAGAAGAAGAAAAACAGACAGGTGCATAAGCATTTCAAAGGCCTGAAAGTTAATTTGACACTCTGAGAATCACAGTCTTTGTTACACACATAAACACACCACTGTCGCACCTCAGGGTAAAATCACCTTGCTTAAGACACCAAAGAACACACCAGCAGTCTCCTTTATGGTTTATTAAAATAAAGGATAAAATGTTAAAAAGGCAAAAGTATATTTCAAAAGATCAATCCAAGGTAACATAGGCGAACAAGATCCATGAAGACACAGGCAAGGCAAAGTCCCATGAGAACATCACAAAATCCTGAAACATGAACATGAAACTGGGTTGTTGTAGGTTTTTTCGGGCTATATGGCCATGGTCTAGAGGCATTATCTCCTGACGTTTCGCCTGCATCTATGGCAAGCATCCTCAGAGGTAGTGAGGTCTGTTGGAAGTAGGAAAATGAGTTTATATATCTGTGGAGTGACCAGGGTGAGACAAAGGTCTGCTAGAGCTAGGTGTGAATGTTTCAACTGACCACCTTGATTAGCATATAATGGTCTGACAGAGCCTGGAGCAAACTTTTGTTGAGAGGTGATTAGATGTCCTTGTTTGTTTCCTCTCTGTTGTTGTGCTGTTGTAATTTTAGAGTTTTTTAATACTGGTAGCCAGATTTTGTTCATTTTCATGGTTTCCTCCTTTCCAACAAATCCAACCAATGCTCCGTTCAGCAAAGGACAAGAGGGATCCTCTCACTTCTGCAGGACTGTACCGGATACCATGCAGCTGTGGACAAGTCTCCATAGGGACCACCAAACGCAGCAGCATTGCCCAAACACGAATCAAGGAACATGAAAGGCACTGCAGACTACTTCAACCAGAGGAGTCAGCCATAGCAGAGCACCTGATGAACCAACCAGGACACAGCATTTTATTTGAGAACACAGAAATGCTGGACCAATCTCACAACCACCACGTCAGACTACACAGAGAAGCCATTGAAATCCACAAGAAGCATGTGGACAATTTCAACAGAAAGGAAGAAACCATGAAAATGAACAAAATCTGGCTACCAGTATTAAAAAAACTCTAAAATTACAACAGCAAAACAACAGAGAGGAAACAAACAAGTACATCCAATCACCTCTCAACAAAAGATTGCTCTAGGCAATGTCAGGCCATTATATGCTAATCAAGGTGGTCAGTTGAAACATTCACACCTAGCTCCAGCAGACAAGAGTCCTTTGTCTCACCCTGGTCATTCACAGATATATAAACCCTTTTTCCTAGTTCCAACAGACCTCACTACCTCTGAGGATGCTTGCCATAGATGCAGGCGAAACATCAGGAGAGAATGCCTCTAGACCATGGCCATATAGCCCGAAAAAACCTACAACAACCCAGTGATTCCAGCCATGAAAGCCTTCGACAATACATTAACATGAAAGCTGCGAGATAAATCCAAAGTCTCTTGGTTGAAGCGGGAAGTTGCTCTGACACTGAGGCATATTCAAACAGTCTGTTTAATACTCTTTGTTTAATACTCTCCTGCAGTGAGGGTATTGGTTTCCAGGTGGAAGGCGCTCCCAGTCGAGGTGAGCTTGATGCACCTTCCTCTTGCCACGTTACTCTCCATTCATGCCTCTTCTAATTTTACAGCACTGCTGATCACAGCTGACCTCCAGCTAGAGAGCTCAAAGGCCAGGGCTTCCCAGTTCTCGGTGTCAATGCTACAGTTTTTAAGGTTGGCTTTGAAGCTCACCAAGCATGGCGAGTGGTCAGAAATCCTGGGAGTCCAGAACATATGGGAAGGGCCAAAAGTCATTAACTTGCAAACTATCTAATCTGGTGGAGCAGCAATTCCTTTCTTGCTGTGTGTCATTCCCAGGAACTCAGCAGTAGAGACCTGCAGCCAATGTCTACTTCCTTAGACCATCTTATGTCTTATGTCATTATGTCTTACCATCTTAAGTCATTATGTCTTACCATGCCCCTTGCCTATCCTATGCTTCTAGCATGGATCTTGGGGCCCTGATGTAACTCTGGCTGGATTCCAGTCTTCCAAATACATCTTCCAAATACAGGTCTCATTTGGTTGATATTCAACAAACAAAGATCAAGAATGAAAAAAGCAGTAGCTATAGTAACAGGACACTCCAGCATGGCACTCTCTAGTCTGGAGAATGAGATAAGCATTCAGGCTGCAAGTTTTGCATCCATGCCTCACCACTCAAACTAGATGGTATGTCAAGATTCTAATACAATGGTTTCCAATCTTTTTTCGATCAGGAACCACTTGATCAGGGGCCACTTTGACCAGCGACCATTCCCCAACATTAATACCACAGAAGTTATGAATCAGGTTTTGGTCAACTTAAGATTTAGCTTGATTATTTGAGGTGCTGATTCAGAAAAATGCATTGGATAGACCACATCAGCTCTAGTTTCTGATACAAAACATATTCCATTCAGGAGTAGCCATCTGCTTGCCCAAAGAAAACTATATTTAATTAGCCTCGGCACTATAAGAGGGTTTCGCGAGACAAGTCCCTCTCGTTGCAATCTATATAAATAAAAATGTAATGTTTGTTTGTGCGATTAACAGAACTCAAAAACCACTGGATGACTTGACACCAAATTTGGACACAAGACACCTGTCAGGCCAACAAGCGACCATCACTCATAAAAACATTGAAAAACACAGCAGAATAGACTTAAAAAGCCAAAAAATAAAAAATACATTACAATGCATGTGCAAAACCACATATATACACACATACACAAAACAGATATACACAGACTGGGCCACAGCAACACGTGGCAGGGATGGCTAGTGGTGTAATAATGGTAAGGCCGCGGACCACATTTTAGTTCTTGGGGACCACAGATTGGGAACCACTGACCTAGTAGGTTCCCTAAGCCAGAGGTTCCTAAACTGTGATCTGTAGAAGCCTAGGGTTCCACAACAGCATTGCAGGGGTTCCACAAAAACTCTTACAAATCTTTTAAATATCTTTTTTAAAAGTCCATGCTAGAGAATGAAGATCTTGTCGAACTTCAAAGTATCCCTGCTTTAAAAACGAAATCTGACTCTGTGCCACTGAACATCTATTGGGTATGACTGATAACACGTATAGTGGTCAATAGCAGGAAAGGCTATTTGAGTAATGCTCCCCTTCATGTCCATCTATTGATATGAATCAGGCCTTGTTTACACCAAAAACAAATTTATCCATATTTCTTATATCTAAAATTTTTGTCAGCCATTCCTCTTCTTCTGGGGGGCCTTCTTTTTTCCAATGTTTTGCAAAAACTATTCTGGCTGCCATTGTTAATAGAAATAATCTTTGTTTGTTTTTGTCAATTTTTAAGTTGTGTATTCCCAACAGGAAAATTTCTGGTTTTCTAGGAATATCTATTTCCAGCATTTCTTGTAACTTTTTTGGATCTTCTTCCAATAGTTTGTCGCTTTATTGCATGTCCACCATGTTCCTTCAATTTCTCCACATTTCTAGCACTTCGAATTGGTGTTTTTGTAATATTTTTCTAATTTGTGTGGAGTTATATACCATCTGTGGGCCATTTTGATCCAATTTTCTTTTCACTTCACTTCACTTTATTTCTTAATTAGTCGCTCTCCGCCAAGGTGCTCCGAGCGACTTACAATTTAAAATAGCATTTACACACTATAAAAACATTCAACAGTGACTATTTGGCAAATTAGATCTGATCACTTTACTTAAATGCACAACCAAACAGCCAAGTCTTGAGCGCCTTTACAAAAGGTCGCACTTCCGACATTGCTCTAATATATGGAGGCAATGAGTTCCACAGAATTGGAGCATTTAAATTCCATTACATTTGTGTATTATAGTTTCTTATTCCATATCGCTTCCCATTCCTCTTTTTTTATTGTTCTTCCTATATTTTCTCTCCATCTCTTCATGTAGATTTTTTCTTCTTTGTCTCCTGACTCTTCTAGAAGTTTTTCATATAATTTAGAAATCAATTTACTTTCCGTTTGTATTATTTTGTCCCAGAAGTTCTCCCTTCAAATCCTTTTTCTTTGTCTTTGTCTTCTTTGATATGCCAATATTGGTACCAGGAAAAAGTCTTCTGAAGGGTTCCTCGAGAAGACTAGGAACTGTTGCCCTCAGGCCAAACATGGACACCGTGTAGTAATGGTAACTTAAAGCAATTTTCTGTGTGATAATGTCTGTGTAAAAAGAAGGGGAACGAATCCAAGCACACGTGATGGGCTCATGGTTCGGTGACTAAACAACAAGGCCCTAGATGCCTTAGACTAGTTTATGGCAACAGTGGAACTGTGAGCCGTCAATGGGTCATTCATTTTGCCTCCCGACAGAGACAACGTTTTGGAAGGGAATCAAGAGACAGGCAGGCATTAAAATGCTTGAATTTGACAAGTAATCAATTCCTCCCAAAGTAGAAGGAGTTCTTTTTGTTTTAGCAGCTTAGAGGTCCAGTGGGACCTTAAAGACTCAGACATTTATCACAGCACGATGGGCTTTTGTAGGCAAAAGCGTATATATCTATTCTTTTGCTCCAATAAATATGTTAGCATTTAAGGTGCCACAGTACGCATTGTTTCTGACAGGAAGCCGTGTCCCTTTCTCGACTTGTAAAATAATTTATTGGCAAGCAGATGATGTAAACTGAATCGGTTGCTGCTTTTTAAATAAAGACCACACTCAGAAGGAGAACATTTTCTTGCAGGGAAAAAAAATGAACTGAACTGCACCAATCTTAATTGCAGAGTACATATGGATGGCCGTTGCTTAAATGCCATGCCAATTAATGACAACATTTCTTTACTTTTTGCAGCAAAGCTATTACAACAAACTTTGTCACATTAATTTTTTTAATTAGGGAGACACATTAGCACAATAGGGGATTTTGACTCCTATTGCAATAATTAGCATCTATTAATAACTTTTAATGGTAAACCAAAGTTGGGCGATAACAGAGGAGCACGGATCCACACTCATTAGTCTCAGAAAATCAATCAGATGCTGAAGCGTCTATTTCTACATTTCGAGCACGTTAATTCAATTTGGAGGCAAAGCAGCAGACAGTTACACGGCGTGTTGTGCTTCAAGAGGGTGGCGGACCACTTACCGCTCTCAAAGGTTCTATAAGATATTCATGGCATAATATAGTATCGTTTCGTGGAGACATGGGCCAATTAGTTCCTCAGCAAAGTACAAAGTGTTAATTACCTTTAAAGCCCCACACGGTTTGGACCCAGGTTCGTTCCTTGCGGGATTGCTTCCTTCCCTACAATCCACCCTGAACACTCAGACTCTCTGCAGGACATTCACTCCAGGAAGCCAGGACTAGACTGGCAACAGTTGCCCAGAGGACCTTTCTGTCTGCTGACCCTCAACTGCAGCATGACCCATCAGAACAGATCTGACAGCTAAACATGCCGCCTGAATTTTTAAAAGTATTGAAGACCTGTCTTTTCTGGCAGGCCTATACAGTCAATTCAAAACTATGGGTTTTGAGCTGACACATAAAAGTGTTGCACCTCAGAGTAGATTCACCTTGCTGAAAACACCAAACTGCACACAGCCAGAAGTCTTTATAGTTTGTTAAAAATAAAAGGTAAAAAGTTCTTAAAGGCAAAGGTTAATGTTCCGAAAGATCAATATAATATAGCACTTTGAAGCTTAATCCCAAAAGGCACCAGCAAAACAAAAACCCAAGAGAACATGACAAAATCCTGAAACCATGAACACAAGAACTGTAAGATAATCCAGGCAAGCGAAGGCAAGCTTCTGTTGTGGTTTAGCGTGATTCTGGGCCTGAGATGTTCTCTGATGATGAGGATGATGGGATTCAGATTCCTGGCTCTTTTTCTGTGCCTCAGATCCCTGGGCCTGCTCCTAGGTCTTTTTCTGAGGCTCCCACAGACAGTGCAGAGTCAACACAGCGGTTCTCAAAAGAAAGGAATGCTAACAAAGTAGATAGCAAACAGGTGGAGAGGCCTTTGCCTTCCCACACTGATAGTGAAAGTGCAGAAAGCCTTGATAGTGACCTGACCCAGCAAGCCCGTCTTGATTTGCGGGTCAGGCGGAGTTCTTGCCTAGCCAGCAGACAAGAAGCCAGCTCAGGGAAAGGTCATCGCAATGCTTTCATGTTGGTGAGAGCATAATGTTTTCATGTTAGCAAAAGGTGCCTCTTGTTTTTACCTGAAGATCTTTGGAACTATATTCTGCATTTAACCTAAATCTTTGGAACTTTGCAATGCTTATTCTTTATTTTGACTTAGACTTTTTCCTCAATAAACTATAAAACTACAGCTCTTGTGTGCTGGTGTTTGGAAGCAAGGCGAAGCTTACTCTGAGTTGCAACAGCTTCTTAGGTAAACGCAAAGTTGCTTTGACAAAGGTTTGGTCTCAAACACACTGCTTAATACCCTTTGCAAAACATGAAGCCGTTTCTTTGGCCTCTAGCCTCCCTCTTGTTAGCTATTCTCACACTCCTTCGAACTCTGAATTCCAAACAGTCAGCCCAATCTAAGGTTCCCATTTCGTCAAGGTCAGCCTGTTAGTTAGTGTCAGCCTGTTTCCCTGCTTGCTCATTATCAGGCTGAGAACTGTCCTCCTTCTCAGAGTCAATCTGCACCTGCACCTGCCTATTTTCAGTATCAACACTCTCAATCCTTGCTGTGGGAAACTGCACTTCTTCACTGTCTAAAACAGGGACATTTTGAACCAGACTGTGAACCTGTGTCCCATCATCCCCATCAGAGACACTCTGTGATTCCAACTGAGTCACAACATTAGGTATGGATGATTTTAATGTGCAAGGTTTTAGTTTAATCTTATGTGTATGTGTTTTGAATCTATCTATCTATCTATGCGTGTCCATACCACAAAGGCTGTTGCTAGGTCAAGTGGCCCTCCATGATGTCACGGTGGTGTGGGAAAAGCTTCTGCCTTACATGCCAAGATTTGCTGTTGCTTCCATTTTGAATCCACAGTTGGTTTAATCCAGATTCTGAATTTGAGGGTGTTTTAATTGAATGTATCAATTAATCATATATATTTCTATAGCTTTAGATGTTCAGTTTTCATTCATATGGTATGCCACATTGAATCCCACCCAGAGAAAAGCTGGATGGATATATATATATATATATATATATATATATATATATATATATATATATAATTTTTTAAAAAGCAAACTTTAACAGGCTGTATTGTTGAAGGCTTTCATGGCTAGAATCACTGGGTTGTTGTAAGTTTTTCAGGCTATACAGCCATGTTCTAGAAGCATTCTCTCCTGACATTTCGCCTGCATCTATGGCAAGCATCCTCAGAGGATGTGAGGTCTCACAACCTCTGAGGATGCTTGCCATAGATGCAGGCAAAACGTCAGAGAGAATGCTTCTAGAACATGGCCATATAGCCCAAAAAACCTACAACAACCCATTTAACAGGCTGATTTGCCTGTCAAGCAAGCCAGTCACGTACCTGAGTGCTCTTTTCCACTGGCTCTGAGTGAGCTGTTTTGGGGTGATCCGTGACCCTGGTTTTCCTGCTCCCCTTGGCCCCCTTCTCAGAGCGAGTCTTCTGAAGGTTGATGGTGCTGTACAGCTGAGACAGTTTAGGGGTGATGTGCACTCGGTCCTGCCCAAAAGCCCGGATCAGCCTGGCTGTGTCAATGGTGGAGACGGAGCCACTCGCCTCCGTCTGAGTGCCACTTTCTGTCTCCAGCTGTGTCACCCCCGATTCAGAGGTGTGGTCACTGAATGCACTGGAGCCTTTCACCGGCCTCATCTCCAAAGAGCCGTCACTCAGAGTCTCAGAGTCCTGGCACTCTTTTTTGTTTACATCCATGAGGCCAACCTCTGTTCCAACTTTATGGGGCCTCGATTTTGGTAACTGTGCAGCTCTGGCAACACCTGAGCTCTCCTCTACGGTGTTCTGGGGTGCCAAGTTGCTTTTGAATGCCACTCTCCCTTGGGAACTCATTTTCCTCGGCTCTTTTCCTTTTGCCTCTTCTTGGACGTGGCTTCTCTCGTTTTTGGCAGGCACCAGCAGTGAGTGCCTAACAGGGTTTTGCAGAAGTCTGGCTAATCGATCAAGTCGCTCTACCAGAGACAGCTCATTTCTGTTGCTGATGGTATCAGGATGGTGTTGCAGCAGATGCCGCTGCTTCTGGCGGTCTAAGTATTTGGTCCAGAGTTCATCTAAGCTTCCCATAAAATGTGCATTCCTCATCACTGGGTGATCAGCCACCAGGTTCTCCTTTAAGCCGATCCTTTGGTGGCCTGGAAGAAGAGGCTCTTTCACCACTTCATGACCTGTTTTCCTCCTGTCTGGTTGGCCTGGCTCCTTTGTTGGTGAGTCTGTTTCTGACTGTAATTCCTCAACAAAACTGTAGTCTAGTTCAGCCGTCAATGGAGAAAATCTCTCCTCTCCTTTCCGATGATGCAGTGAGAAAGGGGCTTGGCTTCTCTCGGACGTTCCCTTGTGCCGGAAGACATCTTTGGAAGAGGTGGCTGGGAGCTCTGGTGCCGAGAATTGCCTCAAAGCCTCACTCCCAGAAAGAAAGTCAATTTCATGCTGGAGAGGCACTGGCTGGTGCAGGTAAAACTCCCCAGGCCTGAAGACTGAATGGGTATCTTTGGCAGATTCTATGGGGGTTCTGGTTTTGGCACTATCTACGCAGCAGAGAAAAAGACAGACAAAATAAGACATTGCAGTCATCACTCACAGCTAGAAAGAAAGAGCTACTTGCATTACACAATTATTCCCATTCTAAATTCAGCATGCTCTTGCTTCACTACCTCAAAGCAGATGTTATACAAGCCCACTCCCAACAACCACGTCAACAATACATTGCAAAGTGCACCTAGAATTCAACCGTAGTTAAAAATACCCTTTGTGAATCCTAGAGTACTGGTGCCCGTTCTGCTAGTAACAAATGAACAAGCTGTACATATATCCCTTCTTTTTACAGGAACACGATGCAGCCTTTGAACAAAATGGCCCGGAGACCGAAACATCTTCACAAAGTAAGATGTGTCCACAGTGAAGAGTTTTAGTTAGAGGGGAAAATACTACAGAAATACACAAGAGAGGCTTATAAAATTAGAAATGCTATAAAGAACAAAGAGCAATTTTCTCTCAAGCCATGGGGATTGGGAATTATCTCATGAAAGGATCTGCAAAAGGCAAAAGCACATCCTAGGGCCCACTCTGGTGGTCAAGTTTCATCTGACGTAATGCATTCGTGAACCACGGAGATCTATTCCGGCGAGGGCGAAGAGCCCGTTTAGGGGTAACTATATCTAAGGCAGTTGATAGATTTTTGTTCCAGTTTTCCAGTTAATCACCTCTCAACAGAAGATTCCCCCAGGCACTGCCAAGCCATCAAATGCTAATTAAGGTTGTCAGTTGAAACATTCACACCTAGCTCCAGCAGACAAGAGTCCTTTGTCCCACCCTGGTCATTCCACAGATATATAAACCCTTTTTTCCTAGTTCCTACAGACCTCACTACCTCTGAGGATGCTTGCCATAGATGCAGGCGAAACTTCAGGAGAAAATGCCTCTAGAACATGGCCATATAGCCCAGAAAAACCTACAACAACCCACTGTATGTATTTTGATTAGGGATACAGAATGTAGCTCATTGGTGAATGGGTTGGGTATTCCATTGTGGCATAAAAGACAGGTCTCTTTCATCACAACAGGCGCACACTTCTGACTATCCTTGTTTTCCCAACATTTTTGTGTCCCTCCTTCTAATGCTAACCTTTGAAGTGCTGTGTATGTCACTGCACTGCAACAGTGGATCAAAGTCACAGCGGCAAGGATTTTCCCTCTGCCTCATATATTTCTTACTGCATAGAGACTTTTATGTGAAAAAATATAGCTGATTATGATTCTACACGCTAGTGCAGCGGGGTTCGAACATTCTGTCCACGCTTCCTCTCCTTCTAAAATGCTCTGCTGTTCTGCTCTAATTCTTTTGGTGTTTGAGACTGTATTCCATATCTTTTGACAATGAGGGGAAGCCCATTCTGCACTGGAAATGGAGGTTGAGGGAAACACAACACAAAGTATGCATAACGTGGACTAGAAGACTGGAACGAGACCTTGATGCAAACCCAGGCGCCAACTCTGCAATACCTTCTCTGGGCCTAACAGAGTCATTCATCTATATAAATAAAAATGTAATATTCGTTTGTGGGATTAACAGAACTCAAAAACCACTGGATGAATTGACACCAAATTTGGACACAAGACACCTAACAACCCAATGTATGTCCTTCACTAAAAAAAAAATGATTTTGTTATTTGGGAGTTGTAGTTGCTGGGATTTATAATTCACCTACAATCAAAGAGCATTCTGAACCCCACCAACGATGGAATTGAACCAAACTTGGCACATAGTTCTCCAATGACCAACAGAAAATACTGGAAGGGGTGATTGGAATGCAATATTCCTGCTTCTTGGCAGAATGGGGTTGGACTGGATGGTCCATGAAGTCTCTTCCAACTCTGTGATCTATGATTCTAAGACCCTTTTCTATATTTTGGTCCAAAAAGCTGGGTCCAGAACACAAGTCAAAGCTTAGGAACTGGGCATTAATTTATGGGAACCATTGTGACAGGCCTCATTAACCATTCTGAGCTCTTCTGGACCTTCAGTTTGGCCAGGTATTAGAGCAAAATTTCATCACTTTCCAACCAGTGTAAGCTACATAGAATCCTAGAGTTGGAAGAGACCTCATGGGCCATTCAGTCCAACCCCATTCTGCCAAGAAGCAGGAATATTGCATTCAAAGCACCCCTGACAGATGGCCATCCAGGCTCTGTTTAAAAGCTTCCAAAGAAGGAGCCTCCACCACACTCCAGGACAGAGAGTTCCATTGCTGAACGGCTCTCACAGTCAGGAAGTTCTTCCTCATGTTCAGATGGAATCTCCTCTCTTGTAGTTTGAAGCCATTGTTCTGCGTCCTAGTTTCCAGGGTAGCAGAAAACAAGCTTGCTCCCTCCTCCCTGTGGCTTCCTCTCACATATTTATACATGGCTATCATATCTCCTCTCATCCTTCTCTTCTTCAGGCCAAACATGCCCAGCTCTTTCAGCCGTTCCTCATACGGCTTGTTCTCCAGACCCTTGATCATTTTAGTTGCCCTCCTCTGGACACATTCCAGCTTGTCAATATCTCTCTTGAATTGTGGTGCCCAGAACTGGACACAATATTCCAGGTGTGGTCTAACCAAGTTGGAATAGAGAATGGGGAGCATGACTTCCCTGGATCTAGATACTATGCTCCTATTGATGCAGGCCAAAATCCCATTGGCTTTTTTTGTCGCCACATCACATTGCTGGTTCATATTTAACTTGTTGTCCACGAGGACAACAAGCTGCTTGTTATGTCCAATTGTCCAAGTGCTGGAGGAGAAAATTCGTTCCCTGTTCATGTCTTGTTCTGGTTTTTGCAGGGATCTGCAGAGGGGAGGGAATAGGGCTGCTTGTGCTTGTGGCCACCATGCGCTTATTAACTGCCATAATTATGTCACTGTGCTGTGACCTGCTTATTCAGAATGCCGCATAATAGAATTATTTTCCTCTCCAGTGGCAGGAGAATCGGCCCACAGCAGAAAAAGCAAACATCCAGTAATTTTTCCTTCAGGAAGTGAAAACGCGCACTCGCTCAGGGGACATATTCCATCTTACGTGCTGTAAAACTATCCTCAGATCAGCTTTCAGGAGGTCCCCAAGCTCATTTTCTAGTATCTAAGATCGAGTCACTCATAATGATAGCTGGAAAGCAAGCAGATGGATGACTTTTCTCTTGAGTTTATTATTGAAACAGAAGGTTAACACTGAAACAACTACAGAGGGAACGGGGTTTGTGAGGCATGAGGTGGACCAGCAACGCCATTCCAGGATTGGGAGAAAGGAATACATTCTGCTTTTTCTCTTCTAAAAGGCCTGTCCTACACTGGGGGTTGAACTAAAAGCATGGCAAAAATGTCGAGAGCTATCTAGAGGAAGTTGGGAAGATACTGGGGGAGCTTTTCTTAAGTTTTTGGCAGTGGAAGCTTGGGGTGGGTGCTCTGAATGGAATCAATGAGGTCCGGGCTGTGGCACAGGTATTTAGTAGCCAGCTGCATGAAATGAGGTCTTTAAAAAAAACTCTAAAATCAGGACAGGGAAAAAAAGAGCAAGATTAAAAAAGCAGGTGAATTCCAGACGAGAACCAATCAGGGCCAGCGAACACCTCCTAACAAAGGATTCCTCCAGGCAGAAATCGGCCAGGCTTTGAAGCTGCAAGGCCATTAAATGCTAATCAAGGTGACCAATCGCAACAGTTGCAACATGCAAGAGTTCTGACAGAGAGGTCAGAGAGGTCAGGAGTTCAAAGCCAGCCTGGGTCAGAGAGAGCTCCCAATTATTAATACACTAGCTTGCTGTTGACCTATCAAGCCTGAAAGATAGTTGCATCTGTCAAGTAGGAAATTTAGGTACCGCTTTATTCAGGGAGGCTAATTTACGATGCCATAAAACCTTCCAGCCGCATGCACAAGAATGAGGAAGTACTCCATCAAAGGACTCAGTGTCACAAGTCGATGGTGAAGCGGCAGCTCCCCCTGTGGCCGGAACTGAGCATACCCTCAAGAAGCCGGAAAAAGCTGGAATGTTAAATTGCCTCTGTGTCTGTCTATATATATATACGTGGTAAGTCTAAATGGCATTTAATGTTTGCCACGTATATATACATTGTAATCCACCCTGAGTGCCCTGCGGGGTGAGAAGGACGGAATACAAATATTGGATTGTAAATAAATAATAAATAATAGACTCCTGTAGTCACTCACTCCTGATATCCCCATCTATCTCAAAAACTTGGGGCAATTTAAAGTCATAAAATTGTATAAAAGGCTAAAATATATTTTTAAATATAAGCATTATCTTAAAATAATAAGCAAAAGGAAGTTGCTGCTCTAATGACCATCTTGACCATCACAGAAACACCAGAGTGTTAGGGCTGGAAGGGACCACAAAGGACATCTAGTTTTGGTTGCCGGGAGTTTTCCGGGCTGTATGGCTATGTTCCAGAAGCATTCTCTCCTGACGTTTTGCCCACATCTATGGCAGGCATCCTCAGAGGTTGAGGGGTCTGTTGGAAGCTAGGCAAGTGAAGTTTATATATCTGTGGAGTGTCCAGAGACGGAGAAAGAACTCTTGTCTACAAAGAAGAAGTCACTGAAATCCACAAACATGTGGACAATTTTGATCATTTTCAAAGAGGAAACTATTAAAATGATCAATATCTGGCTAGTAGTATTAAAAAAAACCCTCTAAATCAGTACAGGAAATAAAGAGCAAGACTGAAAAAGCTGGGGAATTCCAGACAAGAATAATTCAGGGCCAGCTAACACTTCCCAACAAGGGATTCCCACAGGCAGCAATCAGCCAGGCTTTGAAGCTGCAAGACCATTCAAAGCTAATTAAGATGGCCAATTGCAAAACAGATAAGAGTTCTTCCTCCCACACTGGACATTCCTCAGATATATAAACCCCATTTTCCTAGTTTCCAACAGACCTCACAACCTCTGAAGAGGTCTGCCACAGATGCAGGTAAAAGGTCAGGAGAGAATGCTTCTGGAACATGACCATACAGCCCAGAAAACTCACAGCAACCCAGTGATTCCAGCCATGAAAGTCTTCACCATCTAGTTTCCCCTGAAAGATGTCCAAGAAATACTTGTTTAAAAACCTCCAAAGATGGTGAATCCACTGTGTGGCAGCCTATTTTACAATATTTATTTATTTATTTATTTACTTTGCTTATATACCGCTGTATCTCAAGCCCGAAGGCGACTCACGGCGGTTCACAAACAGTAAAAACAGTAGAAACAGCAGTGGTTCCATACAACATATAACAATTGACTTAACACATTATCCATAAATTACCAATAAGCAATTACAATGCACAATTATTACAAAAAACAACCGTACCCAATCTTCTCATCATCCAAGCGTAGTCCAGGTTCGTCGTCTATTGTTCCATTCCTATGTTCCATTACCAGATTGCACTAAATTACTCAAACGCCTGCACAAACATCCAGGTCTTCACCTTTTTGCGGAATACCATTAGAGATGGTGCTAGTCTAATGTCCGTAGGAAGGGAGTTCCACAGCCGAGGAGCCACCACCGAGAAGGCCCTATCTCTCGTCCCCGCCAGCCGAGCTTGAGAAGCAGGCGGGATCGAGAGCAGGGTCTCCCCGGAAGATCTCAAAGTCCTGGTGGGTTCATAGGCAGAGATGCGGTCAGATAGGTAGCTTGGGCCGGAACCGTTTAGGGCTTTAAAGGCCAACGCCAGCACTTTGAATTCAACCCGGTAGCAGATCGGTAGCCAGTGGAGTTGGCGCAACAGGGGGGTTGTATGCTCCCTGCGCTCCGCTCCTGTTAAAATCATGGCTGCCGAGCGTTGGACTAGTTGGAGCTTCCGAGCTGTCTTCAAAGGCAACCCCACGTAGAGAGCGTTGCAGTAGTCTAAACGGGATGTAACCAGAGCGTGGACTACAGTGGCCAAGTCAGACTTCCCAAGGTACGGGCGCAGCTGGCGCACAAGCTTTAGCTGTGCAAATGCTCCCCTGGTCACCGCCGAAACCTGGGGTTCCAGGCTCAGCGATGAGTCCAGGGTCACACCCAAGCTGCGAACCTGCATCTTCAGGGGGAGTGCGGCCCCATCCAACACAATAAACTCTTCTGAATGTTTAAGACAGTGTTTCTCAACAATCCCAATGCCGTGACCCCTTAATACGGTTCCTCTTGTTGCGGTGACCCCCAACTATAACATTATTTTAGTTGTTATTTCATAATTGTAATTTTGCTACTGCCATGCTTCATAATGTAAATATCTGATATGCAGGATGTATTTTCATTCACTGGACCAAATTTGGCACAAATACCCAATAGGTCCAAATTTGAATACTGGTATGGTCAGGCGGGGGTGATTTTGTCATTTGGGAGTTGTAGTTGCTGGGATTTATAGTTCACCTACAATCAGAGAGCATTCTGAACTCCACCAATGATGAAATTGAACCTAACTTGGCACACAGAACTCCCATGACCAACAGAAAACACCAGAAGGGTTTGGTGGGCATTGGCTTTGAGTTTGGGGGCTGTAGTTCACCTACATTCAGAGAGCACTGTGGACTCAAACAATGATGGATCTGAACCAAACTTGGCACAAATACTCGATATACCCAAATGTGAACATTGATAGAGTTTGGGAGAAATAAAACCTTGACTTTTGGAGTTGTAATTGCTGGGATTTATAGTTCACCTCCAATTAAAGAGCATTCTGAACTTCATCAACAGGGATTTATAGTTTACCTACAATTAAAGAGCATTCTGAACTTCATCAACAATGGAACTGAACCAAACTTGGCACACAGAACTCCCATGTCCAACAGAAAATACTGGAAGGGTTTGGTGAGCACTGACCTTGAGTTTGGGAGTTGTAGTTCACCTACATCCAGAGAGCACTGTGGACTCAAACAATGATAGATCTGGCCCAAATGTGAACACTGGTGGAGTTTGGGGAAAATAGACCTTAAGCTTTGAAGTTGTAATTGCTGGGATTTATAGTTCACCTACAATCAAAGAGCATTCTGAACCCCACTGACAGAACTGGGCCAAACTTCCCACACAGAACCCCCATGACCAACAGAAAGTACTTGTGTTTTCTGATGGTCTTTGGTGAGCCCTCTAACACCGCCTCGCGACCCCCCCCAGGGGTCGCGACCCCCCCCCCAGGGGTCCCGACCCCCAGGTTGAGAAACGCTGCTTTAAGAAGAAGTGCTTGTAATTTGAACCCACAGGATCACATTCTATCTTCTGTAAATGGAGAAAACAAGCTTGCTCCAAATGACCCCTTTTCAGATATTTAAAGATGGCTACTATGTTCCCCCTCAGAAGTCCAGATGGGTAAGTTACCTTTGACTTCTTCCCGTGTTGACATTTTCTCTTCTGTCCATGCATCCTTGGCTGCAGGCCTTTTACTATAGATACCCTCTTTGTGTTTGATCGCTACGGCATCCGGAGGGTTTTCTTCCCTTGAGCCAAGCTCCTGGGCTGGGAATTTGGGAGGGACGGCATCATTCGATCCTGTTTAAAAATGAATAAGAAACAACTGTACAACAGATTCAAGCTGGAAGATAAAAGCACATGAGTAAAATGCTGATTAGACACAAAGAGAACACCTGTACCTTGGAACAAACTGTTGAAAAATATCTGCAAATAAAAGAAATGTTGGGGAAAGATTGTTGTATTCAGAGCTTTACTCTGGTTCAGCTTTAAACTATAAACAAACTTCAATTTTTCAATCTGTCACACATTCAGCTTGTTCTGCACAAAGGCCATCAAGTGCTCTGCCACCAAAAACCTTCACTTCTCTCACTGTCTTGCCCATATGATGATCCACATATTATCCTTATGCCGGCTTCTCACTGAGTCCCAGACTATTTAGAAACCTGCAAAGGAGTCTCCGTTGCAATCTGAAGCAGCATTTTCCATTATTATACAGCTCTTAGACGAGGGATTTCTTCCTAAAGTTTAAGTTGAATCTCTTTTCTTGTCACTTGAATCTGTTAATTCGTGTTCTAGTTTCTGGAGCAGCAGAAAACAAGCTAGCTCTACCTTCTCTGTAACATCTCTTCAATTATTTATATCCAGCTATCTTCTCACCTTTCAGTCTTCTCTTCTCCAAGCTAAACATACCCAGCTCCCTAAGTCATTTCTCCAAGGGCATGGTTTCCATCTTGGTACCTCTCCTCTGGATCCAGCAGAAAAAACAGGACCCAAAGTTGTCATTCACCTGGTTCTCATAGACTCACTAGGACTGGTTGTTACAATTGTTGAAAATATGGAAACAGAAGAGCTAAAAGGAAAGTGTTGTAGTGCAGTCTTTGATTGTGCCTGGACCCGATCTCACTGGGGATTCTGGGCCTGTTACGCAGCCTGAAGATGACAGTGGGGATTCTGGGCCTGAGAATGAGAGTTCTCTGTCCATGGGAGGCCACATTCCTGAAAGGCAGTTCCCTAGAGATGCAAGGTCAAAGGCAGCTCAGGGGAGGAAGATTTATTTATTTATTTATTTATTTATTATTCGAACTTATATGCCGCCACTCTCCTGGGGCTCGGAGCGGCTTACAAGAATGGCTAAAATCTAACACAATTTGGAAACAATTTACAATTTACAATTTAAAAACAATTTAAAAGCAGCAGATGCAAGGGAGAAAGATGTAACTCCAGGTGGAGGTGCTAATGAGCAGCAGTTAGATAGGAGATTGATGTTCCATCAACATAGAGCTAGACCAGAACAGAGATATCTTATTCACTTATCTTACTTCTGCCGCGAGAATGGTTCTTGCAAAAACATGGAAAAGAAAGAAGTAGCAACGAAAGAAGAGTGGATAAACAAAATTAATGAAATCAGAGACATGGATAAACTGACTTTTGTACTGAGAGACTCATATGGAAGACCAATGAAGAAAACAGATTGGAAGTTATTTGAAGAATATTTATTAATAACGGAAAACAGACAAGACACAATAGAAGAGGAAGAAGAAAATTTAGAAGATTAAACAAACTAAAAAGACAGAAAGACATAATACCAGAAACCATGGAGAAGAAGACTGGGAAGTCACAAAATCCCCTTCACGATCTACACCCCCCCCCCCAATTCCCTCCCCAGGTTCCCTGGCTCTTCCCAAGACCTATCCATATCTTCCCCAAACCATCACGATTCCCCCAATCCTAATCCCCTATCTTTTTCTCCAACCCTCTTTATTCCGATTTTACCCGAGCTTATCCCTGGAACCCCATTTCCTTTTTGTTTTAACTATTCAATGTAAGAAAACTCTTTAATAAAAATTAAATTAAAAAAAACATAAAGTTTCTCATGAGGCAGTTTAAAGGTCAATTCGCTTATTAACCAAGAAGTCCTTATTAGTTTTTGAAAGGAAAAGGCATGGTTTTCTGTCTATATTAGAGACACCAGCAGATAATTTCCTCAGTTTAGACAACATGGATTTTGGAGTAGAGAACTCTTGCCAAGGGATCTCTAATTTGGGGTTTTATTGTGTTCATGTTTCAAGCTTCTAAGTACTGTTCCTGTATTGCATGTTTTGGATTTATTCTGCTTTTGGATTTATCCTGGTTTTTGATGCATTTCACATACTCTGAACTCTGAGGAGTATTCCTGTTTTTTGGACATTGATTTTTACAGTATTTTGCTGGATTGCTATATATATATATACACACACACATACACACACACACACACGCACACACACACACACACACAATCACTTCAATAAACTGCTTTGCTCTTTGACCTTGGACTGGATTGTGTGTTAAGTACAGAGGTGATTTCCAGCCTTGGAGTGCAACAGAAAGCCAAGAGTAGCAAGGGGGTAGACAAGACTAAAGAACAGGGAGGCAAGAGGGTTTGGAAAAAAGGACTGGCTCCTCCTCCAAGGGTACAGCAAAGAGCTTAGTGTATTTAGCCTAGAGAAGAGAAGGCTGAGAGGGGACATGACAGTCCCTTTTAAATATCTGAACAGATGTCACGTGGAATACGAAGCCAGCTTGTTTTCAGCAGATCTAGAGATCTGGACATAGAGCAGGGAAAGAAATTCCACCTGAATATTAGGAAGAACATCCTAATGGTAAGAGTGCTCAAGAGTGAAATACTTTGCTTAGATTGCATATTCATGAATGGCAGAAGGGGGTTGATAATTGATGGCCCTTGTGGTCTGTTCCAGCTTTAGGCATCTATGAATCCACCTCTCTTGTGATCTTTATGCATCTGGCTCCCCCACTTTCACCTGCCCAAAGGACTCACTTCCTCAAGTTTCCATCCTTTCTCCTCTGTTGCTTTGTATACCAGGAATTGTTTTTCAGATTACACAATGCCACACCTCCCTCCAATTTCTTTCATCCTATCTTTTGCCCTTTGGTTTAATAACATACTTTCCATTCTATACTATAACCAAGTCCAAGTAAGGTAACTGGAACAACTGCGTGTTTTTCCCCCTATTTATCTCCACTTTCTCTTTGTTTTGGTTATCAACACGATATACTAATTTTAAACCCATAAAAGTTCTATCCCTTCAACTTTACATTAAAATGTGATGCTGCGACTCTAAAGGCATGTCATTAAGCCTCATAGGAATCTTCCAGGGCTTGTTTTGAGCATGTTTGGCTGGCAGATGTATTTTCAGGAGTTCAAGTCAGGACTAAGAAACTTGTTGAGGGCTGAAGGATCATCTCTTGGAGGCCATATCTCAGCAGACAGTGGGGCTGAAGCCACCAGCGAATGAAGCTAATAACTTTATTTTATGTCCAAGACTCTTGCCTGGAATGATCACTTGCAGGCAGGTTTGAAACCAACCCAAAACTGTGAAAGGCAGAAGATTTTCCATTTTCAGGTTAGGAAAAACACACATCCAACCATCTCCTGATGCTCTGAATACAGCTGGATTGAAAGCTCCAAGCTTTTAGAAATTGAAAGGAAAATAATGAGCCCTATTATTTATTTCTCTATGCAGCAGTAAGGTATGCCATAAAAACACCAAGGAATAGCAAACTGTCTCCATAAAAGTTCAAGGATTGTGTAGCAGCATTTGTGGTTAGAATGAGGCACGAGAACCAGGGAGACCTGGATTCAAACTCTGCTCAATGAATCAACGCAGTAAGAAACCTTGAGCCAGACCTTCTCACTTTCACTCTCAATCACTGTGCTTGACCTGTTTCAAATTACTGCACAATGCCAGGGAGAAACAATGCATTTTGCCTTGAAATACTTGGAGGGAAAGCAGAAGAATATGGCTATAATAAATACATGACAGTTATTTCAAGGCTGCTCTTGAGAACCAAAATGATTTGAAAGCACACAAAGGAACTGGATCTATATTTTATGTTAATATCATCTGGTTCTGTACAACAACACATTTTAACGAGCATCTCTTCTCCATCAATGAACTCTATAGCCAAAGTATCTAAAATAATTTAGTTTGTGTTGTCAAAGGCTTTCATGGCGGGAATCACTGGGCCGCTGTGAGTTGAGCAGGAATTCAACCCTAGTCTCTAGAGTCCTAATGTGCATCTACATTGTAGAATTAATGCTTTAGCTGCCATAACTCAATGCTATAGAATCCTGGGAGTTGTAGTTTGGTAAAGAGTAAGGAGTATTCAGACTGGAAACAGCAACAAAACAGCCCACTATATGATTCAGATATGTGGATGACCCTTTCACCATTTGGAGCCATGGAGAAGAAGAACTAAACAAGTTCCTGAAGCACCTTAACAGCATCCAACCAAACATCCAATTCACCATGGAAAAAGAAAATGAAGGAAAACTGCCATTTCTAGATGTCCTAGTCATCCGCAAACCCAATCAACAATTGGACCACACAGTACAGATATACCTACATAAAAACTCCAACCATCACCCAGTCAAAAAAGAAGCACAATTAAAGTCCTGGCAGAGCGTGCAAACAGGATCCACAAAGACCACCTCTTTCAAGGTGAACGGAACCACCTAACTGGGCTCTACAGGCCAATGGAGTCCCCGCCACAGACATCAGAAGAGCTGCAAGACAACCGAGAAAAAGCCACGAGAGTCAAGACAAAGATCCACCCAGAGGAAAAGTGTTTTTGCCATACATCAAGGGAACCACTGACGGCATAGGGAAGCTGATGAAAAAACACAACCTAAAAAACTATCTACAGACCCACCAAGAGCACCTGATGAACCAACCTGGACACATCATATTATTTGAGAACACAGATATGCTGGACCACTCTCACAACCACCATGTCAGGCTACATAGAGAAACCACTGAAATCCACAAGCATGTTGACAATTTCATCAGAAAGGAGAAAACCATGAAAACGAATAAAATTTGGCTCCCAGTATTTAAAAAACTCTAAAATCAGGATAGTAAATAATGAGGAACAATCAAACAACAGGGGAATTCCAGACAAGAATCAATCACGGCCAGCTAACACCTCCCAACAAAGGATTCCTCCAGATAAGAATCAGCCAGTCGTTGAAGCTGCAAGGCTACTCAATGCTAATCAAGCTGGCCAACTGCAACAATTACACTTGCCTCAAGCAGACAAGAGTTCTTTCTCCCACCCTGAACATTATTCCACAGATATTTAAACCTCACTGGCCTAGTTTCCAACAGACCCCTCAACCTCTGGGGATGCCTGCCATAGATGTGGGTAAAATGTCAGGAGAGAAAGCCTCTGGAACATGGAAAGACAGCCCAGAAAACTCACAGCAACCCAATAATTTAGTTTCTTTTTTAAAAAATAGACTTTAATAACAAATATACTTGGACACCAGTTCCCAAAATCCAGTGGCCACTTGTCAGTCTGTAAAGGTACAGTCCTATATGAATAAGTCAGAGAGGCAAAAAAGGTGCTTACTGCTGTCAAAAGCAGCTGTGGAACACCCTTCCCGTGGACATCAGACTGGCTCCTTCCCTGAATATATTCCGCAGGAAACTAAAGACTTGGCTGTTCAAGAAGGCGTTCGAACAAGAAGTGCAATAATTGGTAATAACGACAGGAATGGAACAACGGAAAATGATACTGGATTGTGGTTTAGACGATGAGACGATGTGGAATGGCTTTTGTAGTATTGATGATGTTTTTTGATGATGATGTTTTTGGTTAATGCTGGACTGATTATTTTAGATTGCGTCTTGAATTTTGAACCTTGTTCTTTCTATGTTGTACACCGCTGTGAGTCGCCCCCCGGGCTGAGAACAGTGGTATATAAGCAAAGTAAATAAATAAATAATAAATAAATAAAAGCAAAGAGCCGATGCACACATATGAAATTTAGGAGACAACCCCGCCTTTCTCTACCCCAAACTATCATCTCAGTTCAGTCCAACCCATTTAAGAGCCACACAACAAACTGCTGATGCTGTCTTATTGCATGCAAAATCATCTCTTTAGCAAATGCTCCATATATAAAATCCAGAGTTTTAAAATGATTTTATTGTGAATTGTAATTTTTATGGTATTTATGCTGTTAGCATCTTCTGATGCTCATGTGAGGCCGTGCTGAGTCCTCCTTGTGGGGAGAAGGGGGGGTATAAATATATGAAATACATAAATAAATATTGAGAAGCCCAAACACACCTTTGATCAAAGTGCGAGTAATGTGAAATACCTGAATGGGAGCTCTCCACAGTAGTCTCTGACCTGATCCGAGACAAGCTGAGTGCTTCCTTCGAACAGGGGACATAGTACATCTCTGAACTTCCTGGCGGTTTGTAAGGCACCAAAAGCGGCGGATCTGCAAGAGATGAAGCAAAGTGGGTGAGAAAAAAGCAGCCATTTTAGCAACTGATGGGGTAAAACTATATGGGTTTATGAATACAACTTTGTAAAGTTACTCACATAGAAGGCATCTCATTCCTATAGCTAGTAAGACCCCAGATGCTTATTTATATTATTTATTTATTTACGGCGCTTATATGCCACCCTTCTCACCCCGAAGGGGACTCAGAGCAGCTTACAATATATATTTTCATACAATATATTATATTATTAGCAAAGTAAAATATCAGTATATATTACTATATTGCACTATACCATTATATTGTAATATTATTAGTAATATTACATGTAATTAAATATATATTTATAATTATAATATTGAATTATTATTACTAGTATTATATTGTATTACATTATAATATTATAAATATTATACATATATACAATATACTATATTATATTATTAGTAAAGACAAGATGGCAGTGTCTTCTGCTCCCCTCTGTCTTCTCTCTGGCCAGAGCAGTCGTTGGTGCCAGACTTCCTCTCAGAAATAGAAATCTTCCTTCTGATAATCATCACATGATGATTCCTCATGTTGTGGTGACCCCCAACCATAACATTATTTTTGTTGCTACTTCATAACTGTAATTTTGCTACTGTTATGAATCGTAATGTAAATATCTGATATGCAGGATGGATTTTCAATCATTGGACCAAATTTGGCACAAATACACAAATTTGGCAAATTTGAATGCTGGTGGAGTTGGGGGAGATTGATTTTGTCATTTGGGTTGGAGCCGTTCCACATGGTGCCTGGCAGCGTGGGCGCCTTGGTGTCTTCGTTTTTAGGCCTGCTCCTGGGGTTATTTGGGGTGCCTATTCAGAAAATTGCATTGGATAGACCACATCAGCTCTAGATTATTAAATATGGTTTTCTGTGGGTGAGCAGATGGCGACTACTGGAGGGCATATGTTCTGTATCAGAAACTAGAGTTGATGTGGTCTATTATTATTATTATTATTATTATTATTATTATTATTATTAACTTTATTTATACCCCGCAAAATCTCCCAAAGGACTCGATGCGGCTTACAAGGCCAAGGCCACCAACAACAACAGCATACAAATACAACAATAAAACTCATAAGCAAATAATAAAACATCAAGCAAACAATAAAACACTAAAAACAATGACACCATGACACATTTAAAACCTAAAGGCCGGGCCAAATGTAATGGACAAATTTAAAAAGTGCTGGACTTGACAGGTGATATGTAGAGGTTTTTTGGAGGTAGGTGCAATGTGCAGACAATCCTAAAACTAACAAAGTGCATTTGGGACATGATGCCAGGAGTTTCCTATTCTGGATGCAATTTTCTGAATCAGCACCCAAACAACCAAACCGAATCTAAAGTTGATCAAAAACCATTTTGTAATCCTTTTGGCACTAATGTTGGAGAGTGGTCCCTAGTCAAAGTGGTCCCTGGTCACAAAAGTTCCCCTACACACACAAGGCTGGACAGTCAGGTATCACCCATTACAATTTTATGTAAGCCACCAATTTTTCAGGCTGCCATCACAAAACTCCTCCCCTGGCCATTAATATGGATTGGCAGACCAAAGTATAAATTGGATTTCTCACCGGACTGTCTGCTCAAAATGGATCTCTGGTTCGTGCCGCTTAGGAATTCAAGTCTCTTCTGAGGAAGGTGTCTTGGAGCATCCATCTCGCTGCTGTCAGCTCTGACAAATATCTCTGCTGAATAGGTTGTCTTTTCGGGGCTTTCTGTGGTTATCTGAGTGATGGCGTCTGATGACATCCTTTCTGTCTGAGAGGCAGCCGTGGTCTTTGCGCTCTCTTCCAGACTCTTCCCACTGGATCTAGGACTTCTAGCACTGCTTTGGTCTGCAGCTGGAACATTCTGCCTGCTTTCCAACAATTCCTGACTTTGGCATGGGGCTGGTTCTGCCACAACTTGGAAAGGGGGATGCTTAACCTGAGAAACTGGTACTGGTGCGGTTGGGAAATATGAAGACTCCTGATTCATTTGGGAAAAGTCTATGAGTTTTGACTTAGAGGTAGTTTCTAAAGAACGAGATGGAGCATTTACAGTTGCTGCTGGATGAAGATTACTCTTAACTCCATCAACATGTCTCATTTCAGCCCTAGAGTCCAATCGAAATGGAAGATCCATATCTACACACTTTGGAGATATAGTAATGTGAACACCCGATAGGGCTTTCCTGGTCTGGGATGGAGGAAACCCTGGCTTGTCCATTGTTTTGAGACCTGGAGAAGGAGATGGTAATGGACTGCTGCTTCCTACATGTATGTCTTCAGCCCTATCTAAATGTGAATCAAATGGGAATTTACTCTCTTTCATCAACATGCCTTTGGGCTCAGGGGCATGAGAAAAGCTTCCATCTGCAGACCTACCTTGGGGGCAAGCATCATCTGTCTTCTGTCGAGGGATGTTTGTGAAACAGGATAAATCATCCACCATTCCTTTGGGGTCAGGTTTGTGATCACAAACATCACCTAAGGGTTTCCCAGATCTCCTCGACTCAGTAAATATTTGGGGGAAAGGCTGAGCTTCTTTGTGGTGGATCATTTGTTCAATATGATCAGCCTGAGATTTTCCTACTGAGACAATGCTCTCGTTTTTGATTCCAACAATGGACGTGCCTTGATGGCCCCCTTTGCCTGAGGAAACTCCAACACTCTGATCTGGCACCTGAATGGGTGCGATACCTACGAGTGCAGGGGGTTTAAAAGGTTCTTTCTGTGATCTATCAGGTGTCAACCATTCGTTATTAACAGGCTGGCTACCCAAAAGTGCTGAAACAGGAGTGGGCTTATGAAGGCCAGAACAGGAAGTCGAAGGAGAATATGACCTCTTGCGGGATGCAAACGTGATAGAAGTAATTTGCTTGGCAGGTTCTGTGGAAAAGTTGCTGACCATCAGCTTAGCCTGGGTGGATGTTTTCACTCCATGTCCTGTAAGTGCTCTGGAGTCACTAGTCAGGTTCATCAGATTGGTGTCAATGACACTTCCAATGGGAACATGAACACTGTGTTTGGAGTCCAAGGAATTATCTGAGTGGGTGTGAAGCTGGTTGGGGACATAGGTTTGCAATCTGTTTGAAGGCTTTGCATCTGGGTAGTTTTGAAGGGCACAGTTGGTTCCATGCATTGGTCCAGTCTCAGCTGTATTCACCTCTGGAAATTCAGCTAGTTTGAAATTATGTGTATGGATGGCCTTTTGTAGTTTAGTGCCATCTGGAAGTTTTGAGAGTTCTGAGCTGACCTTTGAAACAGGATCTGAGCTAGAGATCTTTCCATTTCTCCACAGCGAACCCTGTTAGGAATCCAAGAGAGACAGAAAATTACACCATGCATAATTTATTAATACAGCTCTCCTGTAGCAGGTCTAGAGCTCTGCTCATTGAAATAGGCAATAAAATAAACAATTTTACAGTTGGCCCTCCACGATGACAGGTTTGACCTGTGGATTTGATTATATGGAGATCTGATTACAATATTAACTCTAGAATCTTTAGGCTGTCTAGTGTGAGTCTACGGTGAACTTCTGCTGGAAGTTGACCACAAGAACAAATAGGGAGAACACCTCTATAGGAAACTCTCTAGGTTCTAGTGCGAATCGGTGGAAGCTGACCATAGAGCAGTGGTTCTCAACCTGTGGGTCCCCAGATGTTTTGGCCTTCAACTCCCAGAAATCCTAACAGCTAGTAAACTGCTTGGGATTTCTGGGAGTTGTAGGCCAAAACCCCTGGGGACTCACAGGTTGAGAACCACTGCCATAGTCATGCTGGGGGACTCAAAGACGCATATTAGGGATACAGCTTGGTAATCCATATTAAAGAAAATGATTTGTGTAGAAGTTATGAAGATATTAGAACACGTTTCGTAAGAGATTGAAGACCTGGTGGTTTCAACAAGCCTTTGAGAATGATTAGTTCTAGGGCTGAGCCAATGTCTAGGCTCAGCCCTAGACATTGTTGAATATGGCCTTATTCTTCCTACCAATTACCCAGGTCACTTCCTCTAATAGGACCCGGAAATGAATAGCCATAGACCCTACTATAGCACTGCACTTAATTCCCGGGGCCCCTAGAATTTTTGAGCTTGCACTAATCTCGGCCCGGCCTTTTAAATTGCCTTGAACAAGCAGGATTAATATATATGTGTGTGTGTTATGACGATAATTTTTATGCTTATATTGTTTTGTTAATTTATTTATTTACATTTATTTACAGTATTTATATACCGCTTTTCTCACCCCTGGGGGGAGAAAATCTTATGGTTATGTTGTTTACTCTGTATGTATTGATGATGTTACTTGGAAACCGCTGAGCTCCCTCAGGGAGATAGAGTGGTATATAAATAAAGTTTTATTATTATTATTATTATTATTATTATTATTATTTACACAAAAGCACAGTATGTCACAGCAAACGAGATCTATATGCTGGATTTCGTATCACAAAATCACAAGTCGAACACTTCCCAAGCGCCTAGGACTGTGTGATGTATTATTATTATTATTATTATTATTATTATTATTGCTTAACTGTTTTTAATTTGCTTTAGGTATTGTATTGTTGTATTGTGTTTTGAGGCCTTGGCCTATGTAAGCTGCATCGAGTCCTTCGGGAGTTGCTAGCGGGGTACAAATAAAGTTATAATAATAATAATAATAATAATAATTATTATTATTATTATTATTATTATTATTATTATTATATTAGTACATCCCCACATTTGTCTTGCATTCCCTATATACCAGTGGTTCCCAACCCGTAGTCCGTGGACCACCAGTGGACCACAAGAATTAAAATACGGTCTACAGCCTCACCATTACTACACCGTTGCAACAAAAGCGACTGGTCTCGCGAAACCCTCTTATAGTGCTGAGGCTTATTAAATACGGTTTTCTGGGGGTGTGCAGATTACTAGATGGCATATGTTCTGTATCAGAAACTAGAGCTGATATGGTCGATCCAATGCCATTTTCTGAATGAGTACCCAAAAAACCAAACCAAATCTAAAGTTAACCAAAAACTCTCGTATAAGCCTAGTTTTTCAGCCCTTTTTTAGGCTGAAAAAGTCCCCCTCGGCTTATACTCGAGTCAAGGTTATTTATTATTTTCCTCTGTTATTGTTTTTATTGCATTTATAATTTTACTCTTATTATTATTACATTTATAATTTTACTCTAATATTATTATTACATTTATAATTTTACTCTCTATTATTATCATTATTACATTTATTATTTGACGATATTATTATTGGTATTACATTTCCATTATTATTATTATTATTATTATTATTATTATTATTATTATTATTATTATTACATTTATTATTTTACTCTCTTTATTATTATTGGAAGGATACGTAAGCACATTTACACTGAAGAAGGTTAGAATAATGGTTTAATCAGAGTTGGGCAGTCTTAAATTACAGTTTTATGTAAATATTTAATCTACTGATGCGTCAATTAATGTAATTTTATTGGTATCATTTTTAATTTGAAATTTACCAATAGATGCTGCAATTCCCATCCTCGGCTTATACTCAAATCAATATGTTTTCCCAGTTTTTTCTGATAAAATTAGGTGTCTCGGCTTATATTCGGGTCGGCTTATACTCGAGTATATACGGTATATACGTTACATTGAATATTTCCTTTTAATGGTAGCTGATAAATGACTGACATAAAATTAAAGCAAAGTTTTAAAGACTGCTTACAAAGCTCATGGTAAATATCTTAATGTCAAACGAACACTCCAAAATTAGCACACACCAACAAAGGAAATCTAAAGCATCAGCAGAAAAATAGAAAAGCACTTCATAGAATAGAAGAGTTTCAGAAGGCACTTAAAAATGGAAGAGATTTCACCAGCCCCCAATACCTGTCCTCGTGCTTTACAATTCCCAGTTGGTTGGCATTCTCTGAAAGTGGAATTTGCTTTGTGCGTAAGACAAAATGAAGTTCTATTTAGATGTTTTATTAAATGTCAGTTAAAGGTGATATCCAGTGCTTAGCTTCCTTAGTAAAAAGTGATATCAACATGTACAGGCAACTGATCTGCAAGTTTCCTTACTCCTTCCTTTTCTCATTAATTGATACATCAAGGAGTTGGAGGAATAGCAAATATGGCTGAAAACTGCTTCCAAAACCATATAAATATTTGGGATCAGCTTCTAGATCAGCGTTTCTCAACTTGGGGGGGATGAAGGGGGGTCGCGAAGGGGATTCAGAGAGGTTGTCAAACACCATCAGAAAACATATATTTCCGATGGTCTAAGGAACCTCTTTGGCAGAGGAGGATAAAGATCTCTCCGCCTGTCCTTCTCTTCCTTTTTGGAAACAGATGGAAAATCCTCCCACCAAAAGCCCTCCTCCCACTGTGATTGACCAGCCTCACTCCAAGCGGGGAGAGGAGATGCGTACTCGGTGCATGGCAGCATAGTGTGCATGTGCGAGTGAGGGAGAGCATGTGAGGTTGGAGGGAGGCTCATGCCACTGAGTCCCTTCAAGGCATGGGGGTCTTGAGGAGGTGTCAGAGGGGTCACCAAAGACCATTAGAAAACACAGTATTTTATGTTGGTCATGGGGGTTCTGTGTGGGAAGATTGGCCCAATTCTATCGTTGGTGGGCTTCAGAACACTCTTTGATTGTAGGTGAACTATAAATCCCAGTAACTACAACTCCCAAATGTCAATGTCTGTTTTCCCCAAACTCCACTAGTGTTCACATTTGGGCATATTGAGTATTCTTGCCAAGTTAGAGTCAGATCTATCATTGCTTGAGTCCACAGTGCTCCCTGGATGTAGGTGAACTACGACTCCAAAACTCAAGGTCAATACCCACCAAACCCTTCCAATATTTTCTGTTGGGTCATGGGAGTTCTGTGTGCAAAGTTTGATTCAATTGTATCATTGGTGGACTTCAGAATGCTCTTTGATTGTAGGTGAACTATAACTCCCCGTAACTACAACTCCCAAATGTCAAGGTTTATTTTCCCCAAACTCCACCAGGATTCACATTTGGACATATTGAGTATTCTTGCCAAGTTTGGTCCAGATCTATCATTGTTTAGCGTCTACAGTGTTCTCTGGATGTAGGTGAACTACAACTCCCAAACTCAAGGTCAATGACCACCAAACCCTTCCAGTATTTTCTGTTGGGTCATGGGAGTTCTGTGTGCCAAGTTTGGTTCAATTCCATTGTTGGTGGAATTCAGAATGCTCTTTGATTGTAGGTGAACTATAAATCCCAGCAACTACAACTCCCAAATGACAAAATCAACCCCCCCCCCCCCACCCAACCAGTATTCAAATTTGGGCATATCGGGTATTTGTACCAAATTTGGTCCAGTGAAAGAAAATACATCCTGTATATCGGATATTTACATGACGACTCATAACATTAGCAAAATTACAGTGATGAAGTAGCAATGAAAATAATTTTATGTTTGGGGGTCACCACAGCATGAGGAACTATATTAAGGGGTCACAGTATTAGGAAAGTTGAGAACCACTGTTCTAAATGCATTATTTTTCTTTCTTAAATAATTATTGTATTTTAAAAGCATTCTCATGGAAGCATACATTTGCAAAACGCTGTCGAACCGGTCACTTTCTGATGTTTTTCAGAGACATGCCCATAAATAAGAAAGAGCTGAGGAAAAGAGATGAAAAACCAAGAAGGACTGCGAACATGGAATGATAAGGTCAGGAATTGGAAGTTGAAAGAGCTGAATACACAAACACTTTCAAGTAGTAAAAGAAAAAAACTTATTCCTGCAGACTGCTTTGAATTCTGCAAGTGCTTCCAAAGTGAGAAAGTCAAAAACAAAAGCAGAGATGTTAATTAATTTATTTATTTATGGCATTTCTATGCCGCCCTTCTCACCCCAAAGAGGACTCAGAGCGGCTTACAATATATATATATACATACAATATATTATATTATTAGAGTACAATATCAATATTAAATATTACTATATTGTACTATACCACTGTATTGTAATATTATTAGTAATATTACATGTACTATAAATATATAATTATAATATCATATTATTATTAGTAGTATTATACTGCATTACATTACATTATCGATATAAATAAAAATGTAATGTTCGCTTGTGGGATTAATAGAACTCAAAAACCAAATTTGGACACAATACACCTATCAGGACAATGAGTGACCATAACTCAAAAAATGATTTTGTCATTTGGGAGTTGTAGTTGCTGGGATTTATAGTTCACCTACAATTAAAGAGCATTCTGAACTCCACTAATGATGGAATTGAACCAAACTTGGCACACAGAATTCCCATGACCAATAGAAAATACTGGAATGGTTTTGGTGGGCACTGACTTTGAGTTATAGTTCACCTACACCCAGAGAGCACTGTGGACTCAAACAATGAAGGATCTAGACAAAAATTGGCAAGAATTCTCCATATGCCCAAATATGAACACAGATGGAGTTTGGGGGAAATAGACCTTGACATTTGGGAGTTGTAGTTACTGGGATTTATAGTTCACCCACAATCAAAGAGCATTCTGAACCCCACCAATGATAGAATTGGACCAAACTTTCCACACAGAACCCCCCATGACCAACACAAAATACTGTGTTTTCTGGTGATCTCTGATGACCCTTCTGACACCCCCCCTCCACAACACCCCCCGGGGTCCCGACCCCCACGATGAGAAATGCTGCCTTAAGGCCAGCCAGTCCAACTCCCTTCACCAGGGCAAGAAAATATAACCAAAGCCCTCTTTTACTTTTCCAAATCACCAGACTGGGCCACAGCAACACATGGCAGGCAATGGCTAGTAATATTATAGATATTATATCTATATTATATATATGTGTGTGTGTGTGTGGATCGCCACAGAAACACCCAAGGAAGGTCCAAAGAAGAGGTTAATTTCTAATCTGGACCAGAAGAATATTCTAAGTGTATCCAGTATCACCCAGCTTAGCTGAAAAGTATGGTTGTTTACCTGTAACCATGTTTCTTTGAGTGGTCATCTGTGAAATCCACACACGACCTGCTGTGCATGTGCGGTGATTACTACCATATGTGTGCATTTCACAGAGACCACGACGGAGAATGCTCGTCTAAATGATGCATGGGTAAATACAGAACAGGAAGCTTTCACATCCACAGGGCTTTCTTGCCAATAATTAAATAGAAAATTCACAGCTAAAGAGAAACAAGCAAACTTCCTGGCACAATCAGGATGCGGACTGTCAATTTGTAAAAGCCTTCCCTTTTTGCACAGTTCACTTCAAGCCACATATGAAACACACAGAGATAACAGAGAAGACGCCAATACTCCTTTGAGGATATCAGCACTGAAAATATAAAGAGATCCCCTTTGCTTGATCCAGTCAAAGCAAGTTGGGGGATTGGGGAAAAAACCATCCTGTTTCATAAGATGAAATACATCTTCACACAGCAAAGATCACACAGCAAACAAGTCAAGTGAACACAAACACTCCCTTTCCGAGGCGGGAAGGAGATTTAGCGTCAGCAGCTTCGAGCTTCCCACAGTGGAAACGGCTTGCCATTAAGAGTCGAAATGAGATAATATCTAGATGCAATACTCAAAGCTTCAAACCATGCTGGACAGCCACACTCTGGTCACCTCACCCCCAGGTTAGCACCAGCGGCAGAATCCCTGATAGCATACACTGGGAACAGACAAGGCAAATACATAAAAAATCATATCAGTGTGTCATTCAAGAGCACGAAGAAGCAATATTGAATGCATACAAGAGGGATTCACTGTGCCACGTCTTGCCCATCATTGCTCAAAAAACCAGACCACTTCTCACATTACTTTTCCAGACCAACAAAGCTGGTTCCCCACCCTCCCTTTTTGCATGTAGAAGGGTGAGGTGGGAACTGGAAGTGGTGAAGCGTCAACATTAGGGACAAGGGGAAACCTATAATGGGTGCCTACTAGCTTGTGATCACCTCAAGACAGAGGTCCTCCTGGTCACTTGCAAGGCTGAACAGGGAATAGGGTTACAACCTGTGTTGGATGGGGTTACACTCCCCCTGAAGACGCAGGTTCGCAGCTTGGGTGTGATCCTGGATTCATCGCTGAGCCTGGAACCCCAGGGGAGCATTTGCACAGTTAAAGCTTGTGCGCCAGCTGCGCCCGTACCTTGGGAAGTCTGACTTGGCCACGGTAGTCCACACTCTGGTTACATCCCATATAGACTACTTTTTATATTTCTGTGGGTTGGGCTCAGTATCTCTGAGGTACAGAACCGCCCACCCACTGAAACTACCCCTCTAACCCAGGGCCCTTCCACACAGCCCTATATCCCAGAATATCAAGGCAGAAAATCCCATAATATATGCTTTGAACTGGGTTATCTGACTTACTTACTTAGGCGATCCCTCATAGTCCGAGGATGATGGTCTTCCAAGTGTAGTATCCTGGTAGTGGGTCCGTAGGTGACTATGGAGCCCTTTTCTTGACCTGCATCTTCTCCCACAGTGAGGGCATCGGTTTCCAGGTGGAAGGCGGTCCCCAGTTGGCTTGATGCACCTTCCTCTTGGCACATTTCTCTCTTTTGCCCTCCATGCCTCTTCAAATTCTGCAGCACTGCTGGTCACAGCTGAACTCCAGCTGGAGCGCTCAAGGGCCAAGGCTTCCCAGTTCTCTATGTCTATGCCAGAGTTTTAAAGGTTGGCTTTGAGCCGATCTTTAAATCTCTTTTCCTGTCCTCCAACATTCCATTTTCCGTTCTTCCGGCATGCTGATGTTTGTCCACCTGTCTTCCCAAGAGATTTGCAGGATTTTTCAGAGGCAGCACTGATGGAAACGTTCCAGGAATTGCATGTGACGTCTGAAGACTGTCCATTTCTTGCAGGCATATAGCAGGGTTGGGAGAACAATAGCTTTATAAACATGCACCTTGGTATCCCTATGGATGTCCCGGTCCTTAAACACTCTCTGCTTCATTAGGAAAAATGCTGCACTCGCAGAGCTCAGGCGGTGTTGAAACGGCACACTCAGATAATGTGGGATTTTCTGCCTTGATATTCTGGGATAGAGGGCTGTGTGGAAGGACCTCCAGACAGGAAGAGTGGTTGTACATCAGGGGTTGGCAAACACACACCCCTAACCCCCTTTAGCTTCCCAGGTCTCACTCAAAGCTCCCAAACCCATAGATTTTAAAAAGCAAATAAATGACCTGAAACATGGTGATTTTTGCTAGCTTAGATCCCCTCCTCGCCTTGCCTTCCAATCTCTTCATCTCTCCCCTCAAAACTGTCAAAAGTGGTCCAAAAGAAAAACTACAAATGAGGTGACACAATTTCTTAGGACACCAATCCCTCAGGCACTTTAAAGTACACACTTCCTCTACAGTGCACTGTTATAATTCTTTTTGTTCCAATCCCTCTCAAAGTGGCAAAAAGATGCTACAATTCTGTCATCAGTTTAAACTGAATTCCAATGAAAACAGGTGTTTAACGAGGATGGTTCAAGAGGAGGGCTCTGCATATTTTTGGTGTGTTTGAGAGGCTATGCCTGTTTTCTGGAGGATGTTTTTGGAAAAATTGCAAAGTAGGGGTTTGGAAGACCGATGGGAAGCTTTAAGGATGTGACGTTGAGAGTCAGCCCTACTATCCCCATTCTTATTGTAGAGAAGGCATCCTCAAACTGCGGACCTCCATCTGTTTGGGACTCCAACTCCCAGAAGCCCTAACYTGCTTGTTCAATTGTCAGGAATTCTGGGAGTTGAAGGCCCAAACAGCTGGAGGGTCGCAGTTTGAGGATGCCTGCTCTAGACCCTCCAGCTGTTTTATATAATAATAATAATAATAATAATAATAATAATAATAATAATAATAATAATAATCTTTATTTATACCCCTCCACCATCTCACCTGTGGGGTCTCGGAGCGGCTTACATGGGGCCAAGCCCAGACAACATATTACAGCAATAAAATCAAAATATAAACAACAAATAACAACAACATCATCAAAATTACATTTTAAAAAATGCAGTCATAAAATAACATTCTAATAAACACAATCACGATCACGATAACAATGGGCGGGCCYCTTATACAGGATAAAAACAAAAGACTGAAATGAGATAAAATAGGAGCAGGACATTTACGGGGAACTCTTAAAATACATAGAGTTGTGAGGCTAAACTTCCCAATTGCGGGGCGCAAGTTCCAGTAGCAAAAACGTTGAGGGGTGCAAAATGTCYTGGTGCGCATCTAATCACTAAAGGCGCAGCGGAAGAGCCAGGTTTTAAGGTCCTTTTTAAACATTTCTAGTGAAGGGGCTTTCCTGATCTCTCCAGGTAAAGAGTTCCAAAGTCGGGGAGCCACAGAGGAGAAGGCTCTCTCCTTTGTTCCCATGAGACGGGCTTGTGAGATTGGTAGGGGTGAATTCCTACTGATGGTTAAGATAGCAATAGGGGCTTATGGGAGTTGGAGGCCCAAACAGATGGAGGGCTGCAGTTTGAGAATGACTGCTCTAGAACCTGCATTTTCCTTAAGGCACCCATTGTTTACATCTCAAGACACACAAGCGATCTGTGAGCTCCAGAATGAGAGCAACAGCCGGGATCATACAAGGGAAGTGGCCTTCCAAATATTCAGGTATTCAGCTACCCAATTCATCATATTTCTCATATGTTCCCAACTACATGAAAATGTCATTACAATGTCATTACAGTTTAATGCGTAGCAAGAAACAACTGCTTTGAGCAAGACCCTTTTTATGCCAAATGCGTCAATATTCCCGTATAGCTACCTGCTTGTGTCCTTGGGCTTTCAGACTCTGCTCTCTCTTGATTTGTTCTATCATCCGTCGATCCTCTTCATTTAACTCAGGCACAAAGTACGGAGGTTCAGCCGCCCGCTTCAGCTTTGCCCAGGCTACAGAAAATAGGATACATCTATCAATTTTGGGTTTTCTGTTTGTCAGTTCTGCAATCCACAGTTCATTCCATCTCAGTTCTGCTTTAAGACGTATTTTCTTATCAAACAATCAAAACAAATACATGTATGCATTTTGTACAAGCAGTTTTCACCTAAATAAGAAACTCTTCTAGAAGTAAAATGTACATATATATTTCAATAATGCTTACTTGTTGGTTTGGAAAAATTGTGCAAAGTGCAAATATTGAAAGGTTGAATGCTTGTTTGCACACAAAATCAAGAAACACGATTTTGGCAATTTTTCTATTACAATGCAACTTTTCCAATCCATATCAGTAAAATCACATTACAGCCTTCTCTGTTTCCTGGTATTTCATTTGATGGGTTGGAGAAAGAGCACTGGATAAGAATACATAATAGAGCTGTGATATTGACGTATCTCACGTTAGCCTGGATTTGCTTGTGTGATTATGTCAGATAAATTAATTTTATTTTGCTAGCATTTCAATTTCTGGCTTCAATTGGAGAACAATTGTCATTTATTACTAACTGGAGACTCTCAGTCCTCCCCCCCCCCCCCCTCCATTAGCTGCCGTTCATTTTCCGGTCCCAATTCAAGGTGCAGGTTCTTACCTACAAAGCCCTGAACGGTTTGGGACCCGCCTACCTGTGTGACCGCATTTCTGTGTACGAACCCACGCGATCTCTTCAATCATCTGGAGAGGCCCTGCTCTCGCTCCCGCCCCCTTCACAGGCGCGATTGGTGGGGATGAAGGAGAGGGCCTTCTCTGTGGTGGCCCCCCAACTCTGGAACTCACTTCCTAAGGATATCAGGCAAGCCCCCAACTTGGCAGTCTTTAGGAGGAGCCTGAAAATGTGGCTGTTCCAGTGTGCCTTCCCAGAATAAGGAAATAATCCCCAGCAAAATGTCCTCAGAAGCACTTTAACTACTCACTGGGTTGCTCTCCCTTCATTTCTTTTAAAACCCTACTAACAGATACATCCTACCTCTGTTCATGCCCAGTGTTTATTTTTTAAATTTTAAACTATTACATTTGGCCTGGCCATAGGTTTTTTAAATCCTTGCGTGTTACTGTTTATATGTGAGTTATATTAATTGTATTGTTTTTTGCTTATTGTTTTTTGTTTTATTGATGTGTTGTTGGGCTTGGCCTTGTGTAAGCCACTCCAAGTCCCCTTGGGGAGATGGTGGCGGGGTATAAATAAAGGTATTATTATTATTATTATTATTATTATTATTATTATTATTATCTTATAGCGTGTTAACCGTGTAGGAAATATATCACTGGGGTGCTGTTTGTTTTCCAGGCTGTTTGGCCATGTTTCAAAAGTATTCTCTCCTGACGTTTTGCCCACATTTATGGCAGGCACAGATGTGGTCAAAACGTCAGGAGGGAATACTTCTGGAACATGGCCTACAGCCTGGAAAACACAACAACCCAGTGATTCCGGCCATGAAAGCCTTTGACAACACAAATCTATCAAAAGTTGCACTGATTCGTGCTGCCCAATTTGGCACTTTAGAAAGCCAGTCCTGTGTGTTTTCCTTTTCAGTGACCACAGCAGCAGCCCGAGTTGTCAAACAATTATGTGATTGTTCCACTATGGAGACAAACTTATCCCAAGAAATACAGAACACAAACAGCTATTCACTCCATTGTGGGTTGCAAATTAGAAGGCTATTTGTAAGGACAAGCTGCACTGAAGTCATTTGATGAGCAAGGCTACTTTTCAGGCAAGTGGACAGGTTGTTTTTCTAGAATACAAACAGCTTGAAAAATCACATTTCTGTTTATCTTTCCTTCTTGACATCTCCTGAAATCCATCAAAACTTCCCTGAGTCTCTTAGGTCCAGCCCATTTGGGTTTCCTGGAAGTCTGTGTACAAAACCCTACTACCTGATCGTCATCTGAACTATCATTCAATCTGAATTCTTATATTACACTACTAAATATATCCTTAAGTTTAAGCTGAATCGATCCTGTTAAATTGCTGTTTCCGTGTTATTTCCTATGCTATCATATGTTGCTATCCACCTTATTGAACCACCTTATTCTTTAATCCAGCTTGCATAGTGGTCCTTGTCCCCCCACCCCCCCAAAATTAGTCTGGTGTTAATCTTGATGCTTGTTATTTTGTTACGCTGTTTTATGTTGTTTTGATTTGTTATTGCTTTGCTTTTACTATATATTCATGCGTATAAGACTACTTTTTAACCCAAGAAAATCTTCTTAAAAGTCAGTGGTCATCTTATACATGGGAGTAGTCTTATACGCTGGAGTAGCCTTATGCATGGGAGTCGTCTTGTATCTGGGAGTAGTCTTATACGCTGGGAGTTGTCTTATAGAGCGGGTCCTGAAACTTCCAATCCAGATTGGAGAATCTGTGGTTGCTGCATATGGTGGGGGGAGCTCAAACATGGCAGTGGCCGCGTCCCTACCATATGCAGCAACTGCCGAGACAGGCCTGGAGTGGAAGAGCCCCTTGGTCAGGAATGGCCTGAATAGAAGAGCCCCTGAAGTTTCCCCAGCACCAGTGCTGTTTTTTCCTACTGCACATGAGTATCTGCCATTAACTAAGCTGTTTCGGAAGTTTCGGAAAGTTTTGGGGAAAAAAAATATTTTTAAAGGCGGTGGCTTTAGAATCGAACCACCAGCACCACCTACATCCAAAATGAGTTTTGAACTTTTTTTTTTTTTTTTGGATCAAACAAGCCTAGAAGTTACCTACCATGGACTTTTGCTTCTTCTTCTTCAGCACTCTGTAGGATCTCAATGGCGTGCATCACAGGGCGCTCCTCTTCCAGAAGGCTTCTGACGCGGACAGCCAGAGAGTCCAAGCTGCTGCTGCTATTGTCGCTCTGAGCAGCCCTGGGGTTCCCCCCTTTGCTACCAGCTAAACCGGCCCCAAGTGAGCCTTGTTTGGAGCCACCTCCAATGGGCTCTTGCTCATTGAACCAGTGAGATTTGTGTGGGACAGGACGTTCATATTGCAGAAGATGTTTCACTCGGATACCCAGTGAGTCCACACTGCTGCTGTTTTCACTTGCATGGCTGCTACCCATCTCTTTGCTGCTGCCTCCTCCTTTGGTTTTCTCCAAAATTTGCTGAACGTTTTCCAGCACATTCGAAGGCTTAGCCTGGAGTTCTGTGAGATCTCTGGGGCTAGCCAAGCCGCTCTTTGCAGCACCATTTCCAGAAACAGGCAGGCTTTTACTTGACACCACACTGTTGCAACCTTCTGGCTCAGACCGTCCCCCAGGCTTCACTTTCCTGACCTCCTCAACGTATGCCTCGCCTGTTGGTCTCATTTCTTCTGGAGCCGCTCCCCCCTTGCTGCCAAAATCCCCAGTAAGGAAGCCTTCCCATTTTAAGCTACCAGTGAGGCTGAGGGGTTTGGCGCGCAGGTTGCCATCTTGAACGTTTTGCCTGCTGAGCGTCTCATCCCAGGACCACACCCTCTGGAACCCTGCACTAGTCCCCGGGACTGGTCCAAAACATCCAGAGCCATTGATGTTTTTGATTTGTTCCAATGAGCAACTGGGTTCGGCAGAAGAGAAAACTGAGGAGCCGGCACTAACATTTCTATCTGAAGCTCCGCTTGCTGTCTCTGCCAGAAGTTTCTCAATTTCCCTCAGTGTTTTCAACCTTATGAAGGAATCCTCTTTTTCTCTATTCATACTTTTTTCAATATTTCCTTGAGCCTCAGAGCCAGAAAATGGTTTTGCTTTGCTGACTGCAAGCTCCTCTGCATCAATTCTGTCTGTCAGTGCCTGTACACATTCTGGCTTTTTTTGCTCTTCAGAATGAGAATCAGAAGGAACTTCTGGGGTTACTTGACTCCGTTCTGCTGACTGCAGAGCAACTGAGGATTCAGATGTGCCCTCTGATCCTGGTGCTGGGGAAGCAGGAAGCTGGAACTGATGGCAGACAGAAGACTGTGACCGAAGCTCCGTGGGCAGTGGACTGCCAGGGCCAGTTTGCGATCCTGCTGGAACTGTCCCACTTAAAATGGAAGAGTTAAAGCTTGATTGCGTTGCATTAACCACGGAGTGAGGGCCTCCTAGAAGAAAACAAACAATGCTTAGGAATCCACAGTACATCTTATTTATTTATTTCAAACATTTGTATCCCGCCCTTCTCAATCCCAGGAACAATTCGATGCCATTACATATAAATAATACATAGAGTAATTAATATAATGTATAAATATGAAAGAGGAAGTCACAGGGAGGAGGGAGCAAGCTTCCTTTCTGCTTCCCTGGAGACTAGGACATGGAACAATGGCTTCAAACTACAAGAAAGGAGATTCCATCTGAACATGAGGAAGAACTCCTGACTGTGAGAGCCGTTCAGCAGTGGAACTCTCTGCCCCAGAGTGTGGTGGAAGCTCCTTCTTTGGAAGCTTTTAAACAGAGGCTGGATGGCCATCTGTCAGGGGTGATCTGAATGCAATATTCCTGCTTCTAGGCAGGGGGTTGGACTGGATGGCCCATGAGGTCTCTTCTAACTCTATGATTCTATGATTCTATGAATTACATATACAAACACAGTAAATTAATTTTATAATTAGTTTTAAAATGAAAAGTACATTAATAAAAAGTGCAATAATACTGGCTGTCTATCCTTATGTAGAAACCAATTCAGAGAGCACAACACAATGGGAAGCCTGTCCATAGTCCATTTTCCATAACATTATCATCATTATCATTGTCAATTATCTGCCAGCTACACAAAGGCCTGGTCCCATAACCATGTTTTCAATTTCCTCCTGAAGGCGAGGAGGGATGTTGTTGACATGATTTCGCTGGGGAGCAAGTTCCACAGGTGAGGGGCCACCACCAAGAAGGCCCTGGCCCTCGTCCCTGCCAAGTATGTTTGCGCCAAAGGCGGGCCCGAGAGCAGGGCCTCCCCAGAAGATCTTAAACTTCGAGGTGGGACGTAGAGGGAGATACGTTTGGACAGGTAAGCTGGGCCGTAGTATTACTAATGAAAATGCCTACAAATTCTCTATCAGGCACAGGAGCAGATGCTAACTTTCGAAGAGTAGCCACATAATTTTATGCTAGTGTTCCTCCAATGTTCTTGTCCCAGGAGTCGTTCCCCCCCCCCCACCCACCCACACACAAAGGTTGGCTTAATTTCCTATCTCTCTATGAGATCGCCCTTACAATTAGTTCTCCCCCCTTAACTCACCCGGAGTTTTTAAATCATTTTATGTTCATGTGGCCCGCCCTTTGTTTGTCTGCCATTATGCTTAGTTCCTATGTTTCATGTATATTGTTTTATATGTTTTGTATTTTACTGTTATGTTGTTTATTATGTTGTTGTTAGGCGTTATGTTATGTTGTTAGGCATTCCAATAATTAGTGCAATGATTGGTTAATGAACACTGGAATGGAACAATGGATGACGAATCTGGAACATGTTTTTGATGACGAGACGACAGTGAATGGGTATTGTAGTAACTGTTTATTAATTGTGTAATGTGTTAGGTTGTTAACTGTTTCTATACTGTAGCACTGAATTTTTGCTGTTCGTATTTGTTGTGAACCGCTGTGAGTCGCCTTCGGGCTGAGAACAGCGGTATATAAGTAAGGTAAATAAATAAATAAATAAATAATATTGTTCTATCCTAATAATATAATATATTGTATGTATATATACCTTGTAAGCTGCTCTGAGTCCCCTTTGGGGTGAGAATGGCAGCATATAAATGTCGTAAATAAAATAAATAAATAAATAAATTTATTTGATTGTAATTTGTATTGTTATATTGTAATTTTGGCCCCATGTAAGCTGCTCTGAGTCCCCTTTGGGGAGATGGTGGTGGGGTACAAATAAAGTTTATTATTATTATTATTATTATTATTATTATTATTATGAAAAGAGAAATTATTCAAAGCAATAATAACAACAATAATAATAATAACAATAATAATAATAATCATTTATTTCTTACCCACCTCTCCACACAGCTCAAAGCAGGGCACAACATAGTTAAAACACATCATAAAACATTCAAATAAACACACACAAAACAAAGATGAAAATACAGTGGACACAGGACATGACTTTAAAATGCATGTTTATAAATTGACTGGGTAGGCCTGCTACATATGTCTATTAAATTCTGACAGAAGAAGGTCATGTTTTAAATGTGCTGTGAACCACCTCAAGCTGTGAGAAGAGGCAGGTAACTAACATAATAATAACCATGACTATTATTAATGTTGTTATTATGTTTAAAACCAATGCTTTAGGGTTTACAAATACAGAGTAGCTAATATAGGAAATCGAATGACCTGACAATGGAACTGGACAATGCTTGAGAATAATGAGACGCTGATGATGTTGCTTTTATTGCTTTTGTGATGTCTTATACTGTTTAATGTTTTTATATTATATTTTATGTATACTGATTTGTTGGAAACTGCCTTGAGTCGCCAATTGGCTGAGAAAGGCGGTATACAAATACAGTAAATAAATAAATTTAGGACAGGGGTCCTCAAACTAAGGCACGGGGGCTGGATACGGCCCTCCAAGGACATTTACCTGGCCCTTGCTCAGGGTCAACCTAAGTCTGAAACACTTGAAAGCACACAACAACAACAATCCTATCTCATCAGCCAAAAGCAGGCCAACACTTCCTATTGAAATACTAAACAATTTGTTAAAATTGTTCTTCATTTTAATTATTGCTCTTCATTTTAATTATTATATTGTGTATAAGATATGTGCAGTGTGCATAGGAATTCATCATTTTTTTTTCAAATTATAATCCGGCCCTCCAACAGTTTGAGGGACTGTGACCTGGCCCTCTGTTTAAAAAGTATGAGGACCCTGCTTTAGGGTTTGGAAAAATTAGCCAATTACTAGAAACATCGCTCAGGGGACGCCTGACTGTATTTACTCAGTCTTCGAGGAGGGCCTTTCCTTTCCTTTCAAGTCCCTGAACAGACTCAGAAGTGGAGTGGACAGATCAAAAGACAACCTGACAATATGCAACTACCTAAAAGAATCCTCCACCTTGTGTGACTGTGGAGCAGAACAAACAACCGAGCATCTGAGTGCTCGTCCACAATGTCCTGCCTCATGCAGAAGAAGAATTGTTTAAAAGTGCAGACAATGTGGTCGCTATTGCCCGGTTTTGGTCAAAAAATATTTAGCCACTTCTGCTCCTTCTCTATTTATTTATTTATTTATTTATTTACTTACTTACTTACTTACTTACTTACTTTATTTATATACCGCTTCTCTCAGCCCTTGGGCGACTCAAAGCAGTTAACAATAGCAAAATTCAATGCTCAACATCATAAAAGCAGTTAAAAAAACAATTAAAACAATAACATAATAAACAATCAATTAAACATAACTATAACATCTCATTAGCATCTCATAGATAGAATCAAGATCCAATCTCATCATCCGTTGTTCCATATTCCTATATTCATTACACTGCCTATTCAAATGTCTGCTCGAATAACCAGGTTTTCACTTTCCTCCGAAATGCTAATAGGGAGGGGGTCTATTTAATTTCTGTAGGAAGGATGTTCCACAGCTGAGGGGCCATCACTGAGAAGGCCCTGTCTCTCATCCCTGCCAGACGTGCTTGTGATGCAGGTGGGACCGAGAGCAGAGCCTCCCCAGATGATCTTAACATCCTAGCTGGTTCATAGGAGGAGATGCGTTCGGACAGGTAAGTTGGGCCAGAACCATTTAGGCTCCTTCTTTGGAAGCTTTTAAACAGAGGCTGGATGGCCATCTGCAAGGGGTGATTTGAATGCAATATTCCTGCTTCTTGGCAGGGGGTTGGACTGGATGGCCCATGAGGTCTCTTCCAACTTTGAATTGTGCCCGATACCAAACTGGCAGCCAGTGGAACTGGAGAAACAGAGGAGTTGTATGCTCCCTGAGCACCGCTTTTTCCATTTTTTATTTATGTGTGCAATGCTTTTGACACAAAATAAATAAATTGTTATTATTAAAACCAGTATCGGTCACCCAACTGATATTCATGGCAGAATGTCTCCCAAGCTGGATGCATTGAGCTACTGGAACTCCACAGCTCCTCATCTCCATGAACACAGGCACACTCATTTTGCTCCATACCTTCCGATCCCTGCATGCGATGTGTTAACAAATCAGTGGATGCCTTCAGCGTCCTGAGCTCAGTTGGAGACAATTCAATTTCTCTGATTGGCCCTCGAGGCATGAATGGAGTCAATATGGATGAAGGTGACTGATCGATGCCAAGGTTGTGGAGGTATACCTGATGCAAAAGAGGGAGAGAATTAAGCTGGAAAAGCAATCAAGTCCGCTTGGCTTGATGCAACGTACAGTCTGAAATTTCACCAGCCCCACCACTACGCCACAAGGACTTCACAATGAAATCTGTAGACAGAAATAATTGTACAGGTGAGTGTCTACAGCAGGCATGACAAACGCATGGCTTATTCTGAAAAGTCCTGATACGGAGAAAAACTAAATTTACAGGAGAGCTGGCTAAATCTCTTTATAAACAACCAAGTCTTGTTTAAGTCTTCAGTTTTTATTAGTGCCCAGCTAAAGCAGGGGAGGTGAGGACGGGAAGAGAAATCCGGAATGACACCTTCTCCTATCCTTTTAAACAATTTTTCACAATGCTGAGCTAAAGAAAAATGCAAAATCAAGAGATGCCAGAGAGAATTAATCTCAATCTCTCTCTGTGTGTGTACATGTCTCTGTCTCTCTCATTCTCTCTCTCCTAGACAGTCATGATAATGCTTTTTAACATTCCTTTTTCTGTACAGTATTCATTTCAATGGAAGAAACAACCTTGTGTCAAGAAGAATGAGCCCAACTTCATTACCAAAACATTGGAAAACATTGGTTCCAAGGCTTCCAGATACTGAATTCAGACATAATTTCCAGCCACAACCCCATGATCCTGATTTAAAGCATTGGTTGGTGGGGATGAGAGAGAGGGATCAATTTCCTCACCTTAAACGGTTCGGGCCCACCTATCTTCTCAATCGTATCTCCACCTATGAGCTGGTGCGATCTCGAAGATCCTTCAGGGTGGCCCTCCTCTCGCTCTCACCTTCGTCACAAGCATGGTTGGTGGGGACGAGAGAGAGGGCCTTCTTGATGGTGGCCCCCCACCTCTGGAACACCCTTCCAAGGGAAATAAGACAGGCCCCATCCCTCCCTTCTTTTCGTAAGAGTTTGAAGACTTGGTGGTTTCAACAAATCTTGAGAGTGACCAGTGCTAGCTCAGCCCAGACACTGTCCGGACACGGCCTACCCCCCTATATATTTCCCTGGTCATTCTCCTAACAGGCCCCTGGAAATAGCCCGTCTCCACTTTTGTCGTTTCTCTATTACAATACTGTACCCAAATGCGGGTCCCATCTTATTTCAATTTGTATCACTCTTGACCCAGCCTTTTTAATTGTCCTGACTCATTCCTTTTCTATGCCCTTTACAAAAACCTGCAAGCCTGAGTAGGACAAGTCCAAGAGATCGCAAACATTTCTTTATTCCCAAAAACATATAATCATAAAGTTGGAAGGGACTAAAAGAGCTCTCTAGTCCAAATATAAAAATACACTATTGAAAGTGAAGAAGTATCAACATTTGTAAATAGAGCAATTAAGGACAGAGGGAACCCTGCGGTGCAGGGCTGCTGGTTTATTTTTTCACCTGTTTCTGAAATCTATGTAACTCAAGGCATTTGGCTTCCTGTCTGAATGAAAAGTTCATTTCCCCTTCTTCCCTTCTTTATCAAACTCTGTTTGAGAAGGAAGCATCACGAGACCTCTCTCTGTCTCAAGATGTCTTACATACATGAGAGTCAACATTAGACTCTTCTACCATAGTTAGAACTCTTTTTGTTTGTTTATCTATTATTTTATACGGAATGTATTACTTGCAACAATAAAAGTAAGTTTTTAACTTTTTGCCAGGGCATCAGCCGGTGTGTTTATTTATTTACTTACTTACTTATTTATTTATTTACTTACTGCGTTTATATTCTGCTCTTCTCACCCTGAAGGAGACTCAGAGTGGATCACATACACAACAAACATTCAATGCTGTTAAACAGACAGGACAGACAACAGATAGAGGTATATGTCAGCGTTTTTCCCGGCTTTGGCGTCCTGGAGGTTGTGCTTGATTCTGGCCACAGGAGGGTGATGTCACTCCATCCTCTATGACGAAGAGCTCTTGATTACAGACTTCCTCCTTTCTTTGATTGCCAGCATTTTCCGGTATTTCCTTTTTATGGTGCCGTAAAATACCTCCCCGCTTAAGCGATACCCAATTTCTCTACTCCCAGCTGTTTTCAAACTGCTTAGGTGGACAGTGAGCTGTGCTGAAGGTCAGGTGCTCATCCTAACACGGGTTCTGAACTGCCAACCCTTTTGATTAGTGTGATCTGTTGCTGCTGGAGATTAACCAGCTGTGCTAAAGCCTGGCCTTATGTTCCCTCCTGTCTTCTACCACAAGCGCAATCACTGTACTGGTTACACTGCACTCTCCTATAGATACCAAATATCCCTACATACATAAGTAAAGCACACTGATATCCATCTAACCTGTTTTAAAAGATCCACAAAAATGTAGAATCTTAACCCCTCTGAAACAGTCAGTTCTGCCTTCAACCACTTCTTTACAGCAAAAAAGTTATTCTTTTGGAATATCAATTCACTCGTTTGTGCTCTTGCCTCTGGAGTGCTGATTCTCATCTGCTGATTTCCATTTCCTAAGGAGCAGCTATCTCAACAGATGGTGTGCAGGTTCACAAAAATCCCATTGTGTTGAACTCCAGACCAGGAAAAGCCCTCTGACTTTAAACACCACACAGTTGAGTAGGAAAACAATCCTTTTATTGAAGATAATTAAAAAGCAATAGTAAAAAGCACTTTAAAGGAATAGGTAAATCCAATTAGGTAGGAAGATAAGCTGGAACAAAATAGTCCAAGGAATTAGTCCATCAAAGACCATTGCCATTTTGAAAATCATTGTCATCACTCCCCACATCTAAAGCACCCTGGTCCTTAAACACAATCACAGGCTGAGCTCCAACACATTGCATATCACAAGTAGGATCTCTCACCCCAATAAAGCTGTGTTTGGGTAGAAGATGTTTTTGTTGCAACTCAGGGTAGTATTCACCTTGCTCCAGACACCACCACACCAAAGCTGTAGGTTTTTGTAGTTTATTGAGAAAAGCAAAATCAAAACAAAGAAATATAAATGCAATAGTTCCATAGGCAAAACAGAGACTTAAATGCAAAGGCAAAGTTCCCAAGATCCAAAGGCAAAAACATGAAGCATAATCCTTTAGCAATGGTCCATGGTAAACAGTTGAAAACAAGACCCAAATTCCAGACTCAGGAAGCCAGAAGCGTGCTGCTAAAAGCCAAGGAAAATCTCCAGAAGTTAACATGGGAAGAGCAATGTTGGACTGACAAAAACTGCCTGTCAGCTACAAGACTAAATACCCTTTGCGAACATGAAAGCATTGCGTTGACCTTTGGCACCTTTGGCTTCTCGCTTGCTGGCCAAGCGAGTGCTTCTCCGAAGCCTTAATTGCAAACGATCTGGTCTGCTCATTAATTCATTATCTTCAAGGCTATGCAACCCCTTATCTGGGTCAAGCTGGGACGGATCCTCCACCTGGCCATGTGGGATTTCACTCTCGCTATCATTCTCTCTAACTGCAGGAACATTCCTTTCCCCTGAGAACTGACTTGCTGTTTCTCCTTCAGCAGCCACACTATCAGCCCCATCTGAAACATGTACAGGAATCTGTAACCCATCAGCCTCCTCATCATCCTGCAGGCCAAAGTCAGGCTCAGAAGGCCCAAACAGCTCATCTTCAGACACAGTCAAGCTGAGTCACAACAGTTGTCTTTATCCAGCCAGACCGATACAAGCTGCATCCCTCTGCATAACCTGTATAAATTGCTACTTGCTTTGTTACTTCTACATTGACTTCATTATTGCGTCTTTATATGAATGTTTTACAGTTATTCTGTGGGCATGGTGGATTGATAAACATGCCTCATACCTAAACGTTAAGGATTACTAGATGCAGTTTTAAATGTTAAGGTTTACTAAATGCCTTTTAATGTTGTTAGCCGGTACAAGCATGCTGGATGTGGAAATGAGCAAAATTGCAAGACAGGAGAGGGCTCCTACATGATGCCACCAGGAGGCAGGAAAAGTGTGATTCCTTTCAAAAATGACTGTTCTTTCCAACTTTGTTGAAAAGGCAGAGATGTGTTGTTGTGGGAAATCTTTAATAGAGTCTATCACAGAGCCAATTCCTGGCACAGGAGATCACAGAACACCATCCTAGAAGGGAGAAGCTGGGAGGTCACACGGAGCCCTTTAATGCAGCCGTCACTGAATGTTAGGCCCCCCATCGCTCAGTTCCTGCATCTCTTGTCAACCTTGCGCCTGAAGTCTCGCTTGATTGACTTTGGCAGTTAAGCTAACTGCTTCAATGTTAGCACCTTGCCTCACTTCAGGAAAGCATGGCTATTTATATATATATGCTTAGAATGGAACAGCCCTTACCACAGGGCTGCATGTCTCTCAGTTTTATGTACCGGAGCATTCATCTGGAGCTGCCCTCCCCACACAAAAAATGTGCAATTTACCGTGCCAGAAAGGAAGGCCATTTAAGGCATTTTACCTGGAGCGCTGCAGGAAATGAAGCAGGAGAACAGACCAGGGAAAGAGCAGACCTATTTATATAAGCAGGCATTTAGCAATGAAATGGCTGGGCAAAAAGGTTTCCTAATGGGGTTTGCAGGCTGCATTTTTTTTATCATTACAGTACAATTTCTGTATTTGCAAAAGATACATTCCCAGACTTAACACAAGTAGTAAAGTCTGGGCTGGACTTCAGCACAGCTAGTTAATCACCAGCAGCAACAGGCCACACCAATTGAAAGGTTGGCAGTTCAAAGCCTGGGTCAGGGTGAGCACTTGACCATCAGCCCAGCTCACTGTCCACCTAAGCAGTTCAAAAACATCTGTGAGTAGAGAAATTAGTGTCATATGTTCTGCAGTTGATGGTGGTTGGTGATGGAAGGGTTAATGTATTAGTTCTAGAGGGTTTGGTAATCTGTAAGTGGGAGTTCATGGGTGAAAGCAATTAGGGGTGTAGTTGTGCAGATGAGTTGCAGCTGGCTGTTACTGGATTTAAGGAGCTAACCTTGAGACTGATCTTTGGGAGAAAAGTATCTGTTGTATTTTGGTGGTGGATGCTGCTGGTTTTTCCCCCAGGTCTGTTGGATTTTTCGGTATCCTGACCTGTCTCCTGTAATCTTGGAATCCTGGAACCTTGAATCTTTGGACTGACTTTTGACTACGGTATAGACTCTTGATCCTTGGACTTTGTTTATTGAACTCTCGGCATTTGACCACTGGACTGGACCCTTTTGACTACGGAGTTGTTTTTGCTATCAGTTTTTGTTTATTCTGTGACTGAATGCTATCTTTATGTTTTATGTTTTGGTCTATTAAAACAGCCAGCAAGTAAGTGCTGTTTTAATTAAACTGTTTGATAAAACTGGGAGTTTGATACATCTCTAYCTAAATAAGGCAGAGCCCTGGCAACGTGACAATTAGGCACTGCTTAAGCAAGGAGGTATTTTACAGCACCATAAAAAGAAAGTAGCAGAAAATGCCAGTGATCAAAGGAAGTCTGYCATCAAGGGCTCTTTGTCAGAGGATGGAACAACAGCACCCTCTTGTGGCCAGAATCAAGCACAACCTCCAGGATGCCAAAGTTGGGGAAAATGCTGACATAATACCTCTATTTGTGTTGTGTCCTGTCTGTTTAACAGCACTGAATGTTTACCGTGTATGTGTTCTGTGATCCGTCCTGAGTCCCCTTCGGGGTGAGGGCAGAATAAAAATACTGTAAATAAATAAATAAATAAATAAATAAATAAATAAAATCACAGGTAACAGTCAACTTTACTGATTGTACAACTTCCTGCAAAAGCATACCACTGAATCACAGTAGAGCAGTGGTTCTCAACCTGGGGGTTGGAACCCCTGGAGGGGTCACKAGGGAGTGTCAGAGGGGTCACTAAGGACCATCAGAAAACACAGTATTTTCTGTTRGTCATGGGGGCACTGTTTGTGCCCAATTCTATCATTGGTGGGGTTCAGAATGCTCTTTGATTGTAGGTGAACTATAAATCCCAGCAGCTACAACTCCCAAAATGTCAAGGACTATTTTCCCCAGACTCCACCAGTGTTCACATTTGGTCATATTGAGTATTGGTGCCAAGTTTAGTCCAGATTCATCATTGTTTGAGTCCACAATGGTCTCTGGATGTAGGCGAACTACAACTCCAAAACTCAAGGTCAATGCCCACCAAACCCGTCCAGTATTTTCTGTTGGTCATGGGAGTTCTGTGTGCCAAGTTTGGCCCAATTCCATCGTTGGTGGAGTTCAGAATGCTCTTTGATTGTAGGTGAACTATAAATCTCAGCAACTACAACTCCCAAATGGCAAAATCAACCCCACCCCCCAACCCCACCAGTATTCAAATTTGAGCATATCAGTCCAGTGAATGAAAATACATCCTGCATATCAGATATTTACATTATGATTCATAACAGTAGCAAAATGACAGTTATGAAGTAGCATGGTTGGGGATCACCACAACATGCGGAATTGTATTAAGGGGTCACAGCATGAGGAAGGTTGAGAAACACTGCAGTAGAGGAACTAGGAAATTCCTAGAGTTGACACCTCTTTATGCATCGTATGTCCTCCACAGAATCATGTTGGAGGACCTAGGAAATCCCTAAAGAGGACACATTTTGTCAGATGTGGGTAAATGAAACTGCAGGTGTCTGTTCCAAACACATGAATCATACTGTATAGTTTTTTTTAAAAAAAAATCAACAGTGCTTTAAATCATACATGTTTATTTTTGAAAACTTCTGTATAATCAGGGCATCACTATCTTTGCCACCCATGTGGACAATTTTGGAGTATTTTTGCATTTCAGAATTCTGGGCAAGGGGTGCCCAACCTCCAAACACATTAAACAAATCGTAAGATAAGATGATGATAATCAGGCATAGCAATGGAGCCTGCTAAAGAAAAGGTCGTTAAAAAATGGTAACTGGAAAGGAAATATGAACTTACCGGTATTCTCTCTTCTATATTCATCTCTCTGTCATCTGGAGTTTGTAGTATGTCTTCGAGACTGCTTTGCAACTTCCCAGAAATAGCTGAAGACCGTCTTGAAGATGGTCCTGAAGAAAGCCTCAAGTCAAGGCAGCTGCCTGCCCCAGAACTAGTTAGCTGATTTAAGCTGTCTGGTGAAACATCTGTAAAATGGTCCAAAGTGATCCGGTGGGCACTAAGATGAAAGCCTGGCAACTCCTGAGTCGTATCTGGAGAGCCACCAGGCTTTTCTTGGCAATCATTAAGAGAACCGCTTTGTTCCCTCAGGAGTTCTGCAACCCTTTCACTAGTAATAAAATTATCTGGGTTAGAGCCCTTTCCACTGGCGACAAGATCAACTGCTTCTTCATCACTGGACACAGCAGAGACTAAAACTGCTGTGAGAGGCTGGAGAAGTAGAGCTTCTACATCATTGTTAGCCTTGCTTAGCTTAACCTCTGCATCTCCTGATACCTGATTCTCATCTTCTTTGGGAGCAAGATCAAAGCCCTGGATTTTTTCATGCCTTCCTTCAGCCTTAGACATTTCTCTGCTGATTAGAATCACAGAGTTTTCAGACTGGGACCTAGTAAGTGGTAAAGCATGGGGTGACCTTTTATCATAAGCTGTGGACTTAGATTCACCAAAGGATGCCACTGGCCCTGGCTTGAGATCAACCTGGCTCTTATGCTTCAACAAGATACTATTTAAGGAATCCGCAATGGCACTGAAGGCCTTCTGTCGAGGGGAGATGCCTCCTGGGCCATGTACGGCCAAAGCATCCGACATCTTCTCAGGTGACTGGCTCGTGTTCCAGGCCCCTACTTTCTCCATGAAATTAAGAGACGGTAGAGACTTAATCCTGCCTTTTAGGGGACGCTGACCTTGGAGGCCTCCACTGGTTTCATTTTTCCCCTCTTCCTTGCTTTGAAGGGTCAGAGGCTTTTCAGGAAAAGGCACACAGGTGTCACTCACAGAATGGACACGGGGCTCTTCCACAGAAGAAACATGCATCTTGCCAGAAGGATTCTTAGAAATCTCCTCATGTAAACAAGAAAGAGGAGACAAGGGGAAAGGCTTGGTGGCTATGGCTGCACCAGAAGTTTCCAACTTTCGAGTTGCAAAAAATCCTGGGGTGGAATGATGAACTGGATGAGCCAGGTGTCCAAAAAATGACCCCTCGTTAAAAGAAGGTGAAATCCAAGTATCCTTGTGCTCTCTTTCTATGGTGAAATCTAAGAGTGTGGGCTCATTCTTACTTGCTCCCTTCTGAGTTTCCATCATCAACTGCTTGTTACCCTTATCACCATATTCATCAGCCACAGCGACTGGCTGGCAAGGAACAAGCTTCCTTTTTTGTTCTCCTAATTCAGAGACTTGCTGCAGTTGTGGCGTATTCTGCAGAGGTCTTGAGGTTCCCCCAGCATTCCTGCAAGAGTCCTCCAAACCCATCCTGAGCCCCCCAATGGAAACCAATGCCTCTGGAGTGTTTTCTGATACTTTTTCGGCACCTCCATCAATTCTAGCAGGCTTTCCTTCTGAATCTATCATTAAGTCAAGTTCAGGAATGGTTCCTCCTTGCTGATGTGGTTCTACAGATGTTTCTGGCTCCTTCTCTATCAAAACAACATCCTCCATCAGCTGACTCATTTCATTTTCTTCTGGATCCTTTTCCACAACAGTTTTCCCAGAAGAACTCTCAGAAGATCCATGTTGCTTGGACAACCCCATGTCCTTTTCCAGGATTTCAAGCAGGAGAGGTGCTGGCACAGTGCTGTCCAAAAGGAAGAGATCCTGGCCTAGGAAAGTGCCACAACATTCAGCTGGAGTAAGAGCAGGTGCCAACTGCTGGTTTGGCAACTTTGGTGAAGAGAAGACTCCAGAAATCTCATCCTTGGAGCCAAAGGTTTTACAATCCTTTCGGAGAAAAAGTGATTCTTCTGTATTATGATTCCTCTGCTCATTAGGAATGTTCCCAGAAAGAGAAAGGGGATGCTGGGACAGACTGGTATTGTAAGGTGCGACAGCACTCATAGCCAGTGGGTGTTGAGTCAAAGAGAGGTCATCAATGGAAGGGTCTGAGCCAATTTCCATGGCTGCCAGTCGCATAGCTTCTCTCATTGGCAGACGTCTGGAAGTGTCCTCAGAAGCAGCATTGGAAACATCTGGAATCCCTCTGAAACAGAAGACAGGAGGGGGAGGTGAAAATATCCTTCATTGCAACCTAGCAGAGCCAAGGAAAAATGCAAAAATCTAAGACTCAATAAAGGATCAATGGACGACACACTCCATTACTGATTCCTAGCTGTTCAAGCTAGGAAACAGTTCAACAAAATGAAGTTCAACAGTGACAAATGCAAGATACTCCACTTTGGCAGAAAAAATGAAATGCAAAGATACAGAATGGGGGACGCCTGGCTCGAGAGCAGTACATGTGAAAAAGATCTTGGAGTCCTCGTGGACAACAAGTTAAACATGAGCCAACAATGTGATGTGGCGGCAAAAAAAGCCAATGGGATTTTGGCCTGCATCAATAGGAGCATAGTGTCTAGATCTAGGGAAGTAATGCTACCACTCTATTCTGCTTTGGTTAGACCACACCTGGAATATTGTGTCCAATTCTGGGCACCACAATTCAAGAGAGATATTGACAAGCTGGAATGTGTCCAGAGGAGGGTGACGAAAATGATCAAGGGTCTGGAGAACAAGCCTATGAGGAGCGGCTTAAGGAGCTGGGCATGTTTAGCCTGAAGAAGAGAAGGCTGAGAGGAGATATGATAGCCATGTATAAATATGTGAGGGGAAGTCATAGGGAGGAGGGGACCAAGCTTGTTTTCTGCTGCCCTGGAGACTAGGACACAAAACAATGGCTTCAAACTACAAGAAGGAGATTCCATCTGAACATGAGGAAGAACTTCCTGACTGTGAGAGCCGTTCAGCAGGGGAACTCTCTGCCCCAGAGTGTGGTGGAGGCTCCTTCTTTGGAAGCTTTTAAACAGAGGCTGGATGGCCATCTGTCAGGGGTGATTTGAATGCAATATTCCTGCTTCTTGGCAGGAGGCTGGACTGGATGGCCCATGAGGTCTCTTCCAACTCTTTGATTCTATTATTCTATGTTGCTTTTGGATTTTTCTCTACAAGAATTAGGCAGAAACCTTTTGGTTTAAACATCACTATTCACTGAAAATACTTTTCTGAATTTTGAATATATATATATATACTGCATATACTCAAATATAAGCTTAGTTTTTCAGCCCTTTTTTTAGGCTGAAAAGGTCCCCCTCGGCTTATACTCGAGTCAAGGTTATTTATTATTTTACTCTGTTATTATTATTATTATTATTATTATTATTATTATATATTATTATTATTATTATTTTATCTCTATTTATTATTTACATTATTCTACTTTATTATTTTACTGCATAATTGTTGTGATTGCTACATTCATTATTTTACTCTTTTTATTATTGCTGTTATTACATTTATTATGTATTATTATTAGAAGGATACGTAAGCACATTTACATTGAAGAAGGTAAATAATAATTTAATCAGAGATGGACAGTCTTATCTTAAATTACCATTTTTGTAAATATTCAAAAATATATAACCTACTGATTCCTCAAATAATGTAGTTTAATTGGTATCTATTTTTATTTTGCAATTTACCTGTAGCGGCTGCATGTCCCACCCTTGACTTATACTCGAGTCAATCTGTTTTCTCAGTTTTTTGTGGTAAAATTAGGTGTCTCGGCTTATATTTGGGTCGGCTTATACTCGAGTATATACGGCAGGGATACTCAAACTAAGGCCCGGGGGCCGGATGAGGCCCTCTAAGGTCATTTACCCGGCCCTCGCTCATGGTCAACCTAAATCTGAAATGATTTGAAAGCCCATAACAACAACAACAACAACAACAACAATCCTATCTCATCAGCCAAAAGCAGGCCCACATTTCCTATTGAAATACTAATAAGTTTATATTTGTTAAAATTGTTCTTCATTTTAATTATTGTATTGTTTTAAGTATTTTTTGCATTACAAATAAGATATATGCAGTGCGCATAGGAATTCATTCATGTTTTTTTTCAAATTATAATCCGGCCCTCCAACAGTTTGAAGGACTGTGACCTGGCCCTCTGTTTGAAAAGTTTGAGGACCCTTGATCTATGCCCACCTCTTTTTGTTCACATGCCACAGAATCTGACAAAGAGAGGCAACCGGAGCCAAACAAAGGCACGAATTGAGTTACAAGTCAAGCTAAAATTGATCAACACTTGGACAAGACCCATGCAAATTCAAACAAATCCACAGTCTTAAACAAATCAACTCACAAGAACTCAAGCCAGGAGATTTACCTCAAAACAGCAAAATCCATTTCTGTTGGTTGGAAGACGGTCTCGTTGAAGAACGTTTGGCCCTGAGTCGAATAGGTCGCCAGAAGTGGGAATCTTGGGGAGAGGCAACTGTCCTGAATATCTGTCAAATCACAAAGAACATGGTGATGCGGCAAGACTGAAAAGTCATGGTTTACTAATCAAAGCCTGACTAATGCTCCTGCCGTGCCACCTGGAGTGGGCGCCAGGCACCAAGAATGGTGAAAAGCTGTGTTATGCAGCAACATTAGACAACAAAACGATGAATCAAAGCGAAATACACAGCTTGCAAAAATGGCACATAGTCATCTTTATAAAGATCACATTATTACTGTAAAGAAAAATAATGACAGAATAAGGGAACGAAACAACCTCATGTGCCATAATAATCATCATCATCATCATCATCATCATCATCATCATCATCATCATCATCACTGGAGCATTGCAGCGCACCCAAATCCCTGGGAGTCACTCTGGACCGTGCTCTTACCTACAAGAAGCACTGCCTGAACATCAAGCAAAAAGTGGGTGCTAGAAACAATATCATACGAAAGCTGACTGGCACAACCTGGGGATCACAACCAGATACAGTGAAGACATCTGCCCTTGCGCTATGCTACTCTGCTGCTGAGTATGCATACCCAGTGTGGAACATATCTCATACTAAAACAGTGGATGTGGCTCTTAATGAGACATGCCGCATTATCACGGGTGTCTGCGCCCTACACCACTGGAGAAATTACACTGCTTAGCCGGTATTGCACCACCTGACATCCACCGGGAAGTAGCAGCCAATAGTGAAAGGACCAAGGCAGTGACATCCAGCTCATCCCCTGTTTGGGTATCAGCCAGCACGCCAATGACTTAAATTGAGAAATAGTTTTCTAAGATCTACAAATACACTCACTGGAACAGCAAGCGAGAGTCCAAAAGTGGCAGGCTCAAACCCAGAACTTCAACCAATGGCTGATACCAAATGAGAGACTCCCCCTGGGCACACAGAAGACTGGGCGACTTGGAAGGCGCTGAACAGACTGTGCTCTGGCACCACGAGATGCAGAGCCAACCTCAAGAAATGGAGCCACAAAGTGGAATCCACGACATGCGAGTGTGGAGAAGAGCAAACCACTGACCACCTGCTGCAATGCACCTGAGCCCTGCCACATGCACAATGGAGGACCTTCTTGCAGCAACACCAGAGGCACTCCAAGTGGCCAGAGACTGGTCAAAGGACATTTAACCAACAATTTTTGTATTTGTATTTTGTCTTTTTTTTGCTTTGTTCTGTTAGAAATGTAATATAATGGACTGGTTGCACTGACACGAGATATAAATAAATATACGGACATCATCCAATCTTTATTTATACCCCACCACCATCTCCACAATGGGGACTCAGAGCAGCTTACATGGGGCCAAGCCCAGACAACATATTACAACAGAATAAAGCCAGAGCATAAACAACATCATCAAATTACATCAAGGAAAAAAATTATAAACACAGTCATAAAATAACATTCCAATAAGCACGATCACAATAACAATGGGGGGGGGGCACATGTACAGGATAAAAACGATTCTAAGACTCTAATGAGATAAAATAGGAGCAAGTTATCTGCAGGGGAACTAGTAAAAACATACATAGTTGTGAAGCTAAACTTCCCATTTGGAGGGCGTGTATTCCAGTGGGAAGAGCGTTGAGGGGTGCAATGGTGTCATATTGTGCACCTACTCACCAAAAGCGCAGTGGAAGAACCAGGTTTTAAGGTTCTTTTTGAATGTTTCTAGAGAAGGGGCCTTGTGACACCTTGGAGTTTAATTGAGTAAAAGATGTCCTGCATAGATTGAGATATTTCACCTGCATCTCCACTCCAAGCATATGATGAAGTAGTCTTAGACTATAAAAGCTTACGCTGCGAACGTCTTTCTCCCAGTTAGTCTCAAAGGTGCTCTAATAGTCTTCACACTTCTGTGAAGAGCATTCTCTTTCTGAAACTGATGGCTAGGTCAATTTTCACACCTGTAATCTGCAATTCTGCCTCTTCGATAACACATTTATTTATTTACAGTATTTTTATTCCGCTCTTCTCACCCCCAGGGGGGCTCAGGGTAGATCACAATGCACACATACATGTCAAACATTCAGTGCTGTTTTTAGATATACAAGACACAGACAGATAGAAGTATTTTGGCATTTCAACTTCAACGCCTGGAGATTATGCTCAATTCTGGCCACACGGGTGCTGTCACTTTATCCACTATGACGCCGAGTCATTTTGATCGTATTTCCTCCTTGCTCTTTGACTGCCGACATTTTTGTGGTGTTGCAAAATACCTCCCCCTTTAAACGGTCCCTAATTTCTCTACTCACAGGTCAGCTGTTTTCAAACAGCTTAGTTGGACAGTAAGCTAGGCTTAACAGTCAGGTGCTCAATCCGACTCGGGCTTTGAATCACAGAATCATAGAGTTGGAAGAGGCCTTGTGGGCCATCCAGTCCAACCCATGTTTCGCTTTTTCGCCCTCCATTCATGCCTCTTCAAATTCTACAGCACTGCTGGTCAGCGCTCTAGCTGACCTCCAGCTGGAGCGCTCAAGGGCCAGGGCTTCTCAGTTCTCAGTGTCAATGCGACAGTTTTTTAAGTTTGGCTTTGAGTCCGTCTTTAAATCTTTTTCCTCCAACATTCCATTTTCCGTTCTTAAGTTCAGAGTAGAGCAACTGCTTTGGGAGACGGTGGTCAGGCATTCAGACAACGTGGCCGGTCCAGTGGAGTTGATGGCAGAAAAGCATCACTTCAATGCTGGTGCTCTGCTTCTTCCAGCACGTTGACATTTGACCGCTTGTCTTCCCGAGAGATTTGCAGGATTTTCGGAGATAGAGCTGATGGAATCATTCCAGGAGTTGCATGTGACATCTGTAGATAGTCCACATCTCTCAGACGTATAGCAGGGTTGGGAGGACAATAGCTTTATAAACAAGCACCTTGGTATCCCTACAGATGCCCCAGTCCTCAAACACTCTCTGCTTCATTCGAAAAAATGCTGCAGTTGCAGAGCTCAGGCGGTGTTGTCAATGTTGACTTTGGTGGAGAGGGGGCTGCCAAGAAAGCGAAAATGGTCAACATTTTCTTCTGTTGCACCGTTAAGCTGTATTTCTGGCATTGGAGTGGGATTGGCTGGTGACTGCTGGAAGACCACTTTGGTTTTCTCGATGTTCAATGACAGGCTGAGCTTCTCGTATGCTTCTGCGAAGGTGTTTAGAGTTTCTTGTAGGTCTTCTTCTGAATGCGCACAGACGATGTTGTCATCAGCATATTGGAGCTCTATAACAGATGTTGTCGTAACCTTGGTTTTGGCTTTCAGTCTGCTGAGGTTAAATAGATTGACGTTTGTCCAATAGATTATTTCCACTCTGGTGGGAAGCTTCCCCATCAACAAGATAAAGTATTATAGCGATGAAGATGGAGAATAAGGTTGGGGCAATAGCACATTCCTGTTTGACACCTGATTCCACCTTAAATGGGTCACTTTGGAATACGCAAGCCTCTCACCACGACAAGGTGACAGTCCATCGAAGGGGTTTTCATAATATATCTGGTCCCCTGATATCTTCCTTCTCTGGAGAAGAATCTGAACTTTTCAACCCAAAGGACCCACACTGTAAACAACAAGCCAGAAACAGCAATGCTGCGAACAAGGCACCGTTTCCAAGGCTTAGAATAGGATAACATAAGCATGTATTGTGTTTGCAGTTACCCAGCAACCAGGCTGAAAGTAAGGGAAAGCTTCAGAAACAAAAGGTCCATTTTCTGTCTGTACTATTCTTCTCTCCCCCTCCCCTTGTGTACTACGCGGTTTAAGGGGAGAAATGTGCATTCTGCAAATCAGTAGTCTCTCATTATTTTATGAAGCAAAATACACCTCACATCCTCTGAACGCTTCCCCTGCTGTTTGCGCAATCTATACAATTAGCAATTAAACAGTAAGAGGTATGAAGGCTATTGCTAAATATAAGTTTCACTTCGTTGTTGTTCAAAGTTGCCAGGGCTTTTTGGCACCTCGGTTTACCTGTTGCTACAAACAGACGCTTACAACATCTGAATGCCCAACAGACTGATTGCGGGAGACATTTTTCAGATAATGGCTAATCAAGGAAAAAAGCACAAGATCAGGTTGGATCATTCCACAAGCACAACAACCCAGTTTGCATCAACTGCTGCTGCATAAAGGCAGATTTTCTGTGCTTCATATTATTACAGAAGGGATAAAACCATCAATACTGTCAGGTTCTTATGCAAGCATAATTGGATTATTGTGCATGCAAAATTGAGATCACAACAATGCCTTTCAGAAAGATATCACAGAACCAGAAAAAGGAGAAAAGAACTACCAAGATTTTCAGACAACTAAAACATATTTCAATTTTGTTTGTTTTTAGAGAAATCAAGATACCCAAATACCCAAGGTGAAATATAGTTGGTCCTCCAAATAGATGAGTTTACTTCTGCAGATCTGATTATTCATATACTAGCCGTCCCCTGCCATGCATTGTTGTGGCCCAGTCTGTGTATATGTGTTAATGCATGTATATATCTATATATATAAAATGCTCATGTCGTCATTAGTACCCTAAAAACAAAAAAACTACGGGGCCAAATGACCCCAAATTTGGCAACAGAACGTCTCACAACACAAGGTGTGACCAACAATAATAAAAAAACAAAGAGTTAGAAGGGACTCTACCATGGTATTGGGGGAGAACAGACAGGGAGGGAGGGAAAGAAGGAAGGGAGGAAGGAAAGAGTGAAGGAAGGAGAGAATGAATGAAAGAAAGAAAGAAAGAAAGAAAGAAAGAAAGAAAGAAAGAAAGAGGTACCGATGAAAGGAAGAAGATAAAGTAGAAAGGAAAGGAAAGGCAGGAAAAAGGTAAAGAAGGAAGGAAGGAAGGAAGGAAGGAAGGAAGGAAGGAGAAAAAGCAATAAAAAGTGAAAGAAGCAAGGAAACAGGGAGTGAAGAAATGAGACAAAGGAAGAAGTAGAGAAAGGGGGAGTGAAGGAAGGAAAGAGAGAAGGAAGGATGAACCCAAAGAGTGAAAGAAGGAA